ATGATCTATGGCTGGACATAATATAACAAGTCCCTCCTTATGTGTGTGTGGTAGGGAGGCCGCTGCCCTCACTGAGTTTGTTAACGTAGTCGCAGACGCCATTACGGGTGATCAGCTCTATTTTGTTACTGTGACGTCGCATTGGCGTAATTTTTTGATGACGAAGTCAGGTGAGGGTCAGGAATATTATATGCAAAAATTGTTACGCTAAGTTAACTATAGGTAATTGAGGTACAAAACTACATCCATAGGTGTCATTACGAATATCGTCGCTATTATTGGGCAAGCTCTATTTCGTTATTGTGAATTCGCATTGACGTAATTTTTTGATGACGAAATCAGGTGAGGGTCATCAGGATTATTATATGCGAAAACTGTTACGCTAAGTTAACTAGAAGTTATTGAGGTACGAAACTACATCCATAGGTGTCATTACTAGTGATCGTCGCTATTATTGGGCAAGCGTTATTTCGTGATTGTGACTTCGTATTGACGTAATTTATTGATGATTAAATCAGGTGAGGGTCAGGAATATGACGTGCAAAAATTGTTACGCTAAGTTAACTAGAAGTTATTGAGGTACGAAACTACACCCATACCGGACACACAGGCGTATTTATCACGATTGCATTATGGTCGCTATTATTGGGCAAGCTCGATTTCGTTATTGTGACATCGCATTGACGTAATTTTTGGATGACGAAGTCAGGTGAGGGTCAGGAATGATATATGCAAAAATTGTTACGCTAAGATAAGTATAAGTTATCGAGGTAAGAAAAACTACATCCATTGCGCTAAGGCAAATTAATATGTCGGTTTCTGCTTGTCTAAAGCCTTGCATAGAGTGAAAGCGTTCCACGTCCTATTAATAAAATGTGGCCCAATACATGATCAGTCTCTGGATATTAAATAACAAGTCTTTATGTCTGCGGCACCTAACCTCAATCATTGCGTGAAATAAATGTTCTTTCTGTTTGTCTAAAGCCTAGCTCAGAGCGGTATCGTATATCACCCTATTAATAGATCGTAGCACAATACATGAGCTATTGCTGGACATAAAATAATAAGTCTTTATGTGTGTGGTACCCAACTCCAACCATTGCGTAAAATAACATGTATTTTCTGCTTGTCTAAAGCCTTGGTTAGAGTTGTATCGTATAACGCTCTATTTTAGATTGTAGCACGATACATGAGCTATTGCTGGACAGAAATTGGTCAGAATGGGATATCGTGAACGTTCCTTGGCGACAATTTAGTCGCTTGTGATTCTTGTTTATTTTTGAGCTCTGTACAACGACCCCGATAAGAGAGAGGTCGCTGACGTATTGAGTTTGTAGACATACTCGTAGGCGCCATTACGGGTGACCGTCGCTATACTTTGGCAAGCTGTATTTCGTTATTGTGACGTCGCAGTGACGTAATTTTGTGGATGACGTCATCAGGTAGGGGTCAGGAATCATATATCCAAAAATTGTTACGCCACGCCCACTAGAAGTTATTCAGGTAAGAAAGTACATGAGACCCAATACTTTCACTTCACCAAGGCAACAGAAAGGGGAAAAAAGATAAACTTGACAAGATTCAAACCAGTGATTTCCATACACCTCTCCCGCCCGCCCCCTAAATTGAAACCATACTTTAATTTTTAACGTAATGAAAAATGCATTCGAATATTCAGAAATTGGCTCCTATGCCGGTGAAAATAATTATCAGTTAAATACTTTCTTATGAGTTACATAAGAAACGCCTCATAAAATGAAAACAGGGGTACATATTGATTCAATCAGTCAGTGTTGATGAAATGTCGAAAAATAGCACCTATACCGGTAACTACACTCTTAGTTGAAAAAACAACTGCGCGCTCAAAATTCAACTCTAAATAAGTAACAATAGCTTTTATCACTAATACACAAAATATCTACCACCCCCTAAATTTTGAAACACTCCTCTAAACTAAAAAAGCAGGGGAATATATAACAAGCAGGAATTCTTAAAATGCCGAAAAATTGGACCTATACCGGTAACTACATCGTTAGTTGAAAAAAACGCGCACGCTTAAAACTCAACTCTGGAAGACTCTCATGTACTTGATTTTATTACTTTGAAGACTATTCTTCTTTTCATAACTTCAGTTTATATTCAATACTGACCTATCACATGTCCGCGACTGCCATAGAATAGCCCTGTAAACAAAACAGAAACGTAGCATTTAGACATCTTGATGACACGCGAACGGCAGGTTTACTAACACGACTCAGGTCGAGGCAGCGTTGTTTACCGAGTTGATTACTATCCCGCGTTTTGTAAAATTTCGGCTCCACCAATCAACGCCCTAGCCTGCTTTTTCTGATGACTTTTACCCCGCGCGTTCTTTTAGAATCTTAGGCTTAACCAATCAACGCTCGTTCCTACTTTGTCTGGTGACTATTACCACGCCCTTATTCTAGAATATTCGATTTTACCAATCAAGCCTTGTTTCCACTTATTTTGATGACTTTTACCACGCGTTTTTTTTTTAACTTGGTTTTACCAATCAACGCTCGGTTCTACTTACTCTGATATTTACTATCCGCGCATTTACTAGAACAGCGGATATCAAACGACGAGCGTGAAGCTAATTAAAAATAAAAATGTTGGTTAGATTTGATCTTGTCCGCTCTATTTCGGATAATCACATTTCGGTGCTCCAGAGGTGTGTACTACCAATATGGAGGTAACTAATTTTATTCGACTGAAAGTATGGGCAGGGGGTATATTCACCTAGCTAACACAGACAGACCCCGAAATTAAATAGAACTAAAGTGAGGAAAATCGGAATAAAATTATGGCCTAACCCTAACCTGGTACACATACTACGGAAGTACCCACATTTCTTCATTTTGGATATTTACGTTCCATCCACGTATTCTAAAGTGTTCGTTGAATACAACATAGCCTACTCTCGTTTAACTATATATCTGTTATTTGTAGCTAGTTATTTTTGTTTTTTGCTAAATTTACTAGTTATATTAACTAGTTATTTTTGAGGTGGGGCGCGAGACTTGACAAATTTCAAAAATAGGGCGCGCCCAAAAAGTTTGAGAACCACTGTTCTAGAATATTCGATCTTACCAATCAACATTCAGTCCTACCGTATATATATACTATTTCGCTGGTCTCATAAAATTTCGTCAGACGGTTCTATAGAACCGGCTGAATCCCACTACTGGTTAGAGTAGATCATAATTTCAGGTACAAATAGGCTACTAAGGGAGTCACTTGGCTAGTCCCCTCACTCGTAATAGAACTAAAATAAGGAAAATTGGAATAACATTTTGGCCTAATTTTAACATACACTACGTACACACACTACGTTTCAGTGTCCGACATCTTGGTCCACGTACTTCGGGAGTACCGATATATGAATGCAGTATATAAAAATAATTCTAGCATTAAATGTTAACGGTAAAAAAAATCAAGAAAAACAGATGTGAATTGTTTATAGAAATATTTTATCAGGATGTTGATATAACGGATGTTTCCCGAGCATCGATTTTTTTGTTTATTTCCGCAACATTGACCAATTAACAACGTGTTAACAATGACGAAACAATTGAAATTTGTGTAGCCGCCAGACACTTTTTTTTCGCTCATTCAGATATTCAAGCACGGTCGTAAACAGTGCTTCGTTTTTGTGGTTTTGCGTGTTACTTGTCAGTTTTCAGCTGTGTTTCCAAAAATGAGTACAAAATGAAATAACTCAATTGGAATAGTCTTCCGATGAGCATTGGTTTAGTTTAGTTGCTGTATTCAAAAATCTGCGACCGACTAGGCTAAAAGCAGCTACTTGTACCTGTGAGCCTCACTGAGTTAAATATTTTTATATAAAAAAATGATAAATTCGTAAACCAGTTTGTAAGCGATAATTCTCTGAAAAAACACTCTCAAAACAAGGGTTTTTGCAAAATATTTTCTGAGGTCCAATGGTCGGGGAAACATCCATATTCTTACGTGGAAACATGGTCATCCGGAAATGTAACAGATTATATTTTTTTTCGAACGGTAAAAAGACTCGGCATAAAAACCATCGTTAAATGCCTTAAAACAAATTGAAGGGGCAATATGTGAAAAAATAGAAAAAAGTCTATACATTAGGTCAGTGGTCGGGAACCCATGGCTCGCCAGCCATATATGGCTCTTTTGGTGACGGCATATGGCTCCCAGAAAAATCTAATAATGTAAGGCTAAGCTTACTATTGTTACGAGATTTCAAACTCTTTTATAGTCAAATTTGGCAGAAAACTTGCCTATACATTTGAGAACGCGTGCCCAGCGCATGTTTATGTTATGTATGAGAATTACCAGACAGGCATTGTGATAAAACTAGGGGATTCTGGAACAAATTTAGCGACATCACAAACCGATAGAGTCGCGGAGCAATAGAGAAAAGCTTTTCGTCCGTTTGTACGTACTGGTTACAGTATTTGTCCTATTTAGATCGGACTAGCAAAGTTAGTTTTAAAATACTACGGAAGTGCCTAAACGAAAGAAGGCATTTCAACTTGTGCTGCATGTGAGCAGCCGTCCAAGGCTCGCAGCGACAATATGCTGAATCAGAATTCACATTAAATGTATATTGACATTGTATGTGTTGACTTTTGAGTACAAATTTCAGGCCTGATTAAGTGAAGAAATGCTATCTATATGGCTCGCACGGAAATACAATTGAAAATATGTACAGTTTATCGCTCTCTTGACCAAAAAGGTTCCCGACCCCTGCATTAGGTACTGGACATTTTCACAAAATATTGTAAAGGGAAAATTATTATTCTTGAGGTGTGAAAGAAATATGCCAATACAACTTATAATTAAAAAAAATTTAGAAGATGGTAAAACGCTAGAGTGAGATGATTGTATTTTAAAAATTTGAATTCTATGAACGAAACAATTTTTATGAAAGAGTAAGAATCAATTAACTCTCATTTATTATAAACTTGCTACCATGCTAAACATGATAATTTTCAAAAGGGAACATAATTTAGTTTTGCATGGGATATGGCTGAAAATATGTCCATGCGTACTGCGTAGTCTACATCGCGGACTTGCTTTTTGCCTGTTGTCGAGTTTGCTGATTACAGAATTATGGTGGGATATACAAAATTCAATAGGCCTATCGATGTGAGTACAGGGCATACGCTCATTTTTTATTATTCGATTCTATCAAACAACAATACAGTACAGTAAAACGTAGGGTACGGTAGAGATAGGGTCATACTACCGGTACACCTTTTTCAGTTTTTGTAAATTCTGAAAATTGTGCTTCCTCCCACTATCACATCCTCCACAGTTGTGCCATGTCAATCCTCAAAGAATTATATTCTAGCCCTGCAACATAATCAAAACAACTTGAGAAGTAAACACAATACTGTAATATCAGAATATAGATTGAAGGCATGTGGGGTCTAGTAAAGTTTAGTACCACAAGTACTTCCAGTGGGCGTAGCATAACGAATTTTGCATATGTTATTCTTAACCACCGCCTGACTATGCCATCCTTAAATTACGTCACCATCACATTATAGGGATGGTCAAATTATAATTACAATCGCCCGAAATGGCATCTGCGCCGCTGATAACGAACTCGCTGAAGGACGATCTCTCTCCTATCGTGATCGTTGTGACAAGAAAACGAGAGAAATAAATAGCTTGCTCGATTTTGGGTGATTGTCTGTGCGTTTTGGACGCCAATCCACATACTTTGGTGGGCCTTATTACGCCACTGTGATGTCGTGATGGCATAATTTTTCAGTGACGTACCGATAGTCAGGTGGGGGTTAGGATAGACATATGCAAAACTTGTTAAGCCAGGCCAACTAGAAGTGCATGTGGTACTAAACTATACTAGACCCGCCATGTGTACGGTACTGCGGTACCAGAACTGTCTGACTGTACAATACCGTACCGGTATGGCGGTATCTGAAACGGGAAGTACAGCAGTACCGTAACCGTCTGAACGTACAGTTAAATACAGTACTTAAACAAGTTACTTAGATAGACCGGTAGACCCAACATTTTTCTGTTATTAATCTCCATTACTGCAGTATTCACTACCCGGTATGTAGTCTATATAATTCATTGAATTTTATTTTTAGGCTGCCTACAAAAACTTCAGCAAACGTAAGAGAGTAATGAAACAGGTGAAAAAGAAAAATAAAGGTGTCAAAATCATTCCAGTAGCTGATCCAGAACTAATAACTTCACATATTTTAAAGAAACGGGGGTGAGTTTGGTCAAATAATGAAATTTGTTCACCTACAAATATATTTTGTGTTTTCCTAACTGTTTCAAATATAAGCACACTAAATATCAAACAAGTCTAAACTGCATTTTGTAAATGATTTATCATTATTTGTTGTTTGAAGATCACTCAATTTACAAGATACTAACATGTTTAAACAATAAAATTGAATTGGATTATCGGGATGACCGAAAATAGCCAAACTATGCATACTCTAAGACACTTTTCAAAGTCGTTAACGATTGATTTTGTGCTACACAGTTGATGTTTATCAAGATGAATCAATCACTATTCATGTACAATATTTGTATATATTCTTCTACGCATCTAGGATCTCTATAGACTGTGTATTGAATCATTGTACCTGATTGAATCAGACATTAGAATCTGATGTGATTTTATTCAAAATTCGATTAGAGGTATCGAAGTGTGTGTACCAATATGGAGGTACTAACTTTGTTCGCCTATTTTACATCAGGTTGTGTAAAGGGATGGAGGCTATGGGCGGGGGGTATATTCACTTGACTAACACAGACAGTCCCCGAACGTAAAAAGAACTAAAATAAGTAAAATCAGAATAAAATTATGGCCTAACCCTAACCTAGTACAAATGTTTCAATCAATTCCTACAACTAAACCCAGTTTCCTGATTGCTCATCTGCTCTTTTAAAGTACTCTTTCCATAAATTTGTAAACTCTTAAAAAAAATTTATTAATCCATTGTGTTTAGGACAAATCCGAGAGCTAATATCACTTTATCAGGAAAAAAGAGAAATAAGATTTTGAAAAGATTACGTAGAAAAGAAACGGAAGGAATGAAAATGCAAGGTATGGTATCATGCAATTGTAGCAAACAAAATATACAAAATGTGGAAATTGAGTCGATTTAAGAAAACACATTCTTCAACTTGCAGAATAGCATTATAAATTATGACCTCATCCTATTAAAAGCTTTGTTGAGTGTCCAACTTGTGTATCGGTAATTTTTTTACAAATCTAATGATGTATTACAGTTGAACCAACAGTCACAAGAAAAGGTAGAAAAGTGAAAAAGAGTGCAAAAGCAGAAGAAACTCAGAAGAATAAACAAACTGAAAGTTTTATAAATGATGTGGAAATGAAAGAATAGTTTAAATTCAATCATAAAAAGATTTTTTAAAGTGACAATACTGGATACAAAACTATTTGGAAATATTCTGCATTAAATATTCTCTTGTTCGCTATACACTATAGCAATACAGGTGTCTGTCTCACTGCTCTCTGGCAACCTGGAATGAATTAAAGTAAAATTATGTGTTATGAATCACAACAACTGGCCACGTTTTTGATAAGTTTTCCATCATTTCCAACAAATATGCTAGTGTAGCAGAACACAAACTTTTCAATAACCGTGTCCAATCGGCGTGGACCTGAACAATTTCAAACCCAACCCTACCCACGTTGGGAAAACACTTGTCACCGCAACTACGGTTACCCTGGGTGGGTTTGGAAACCCAGGAATTGTCATAGGGTGGTTCACGTAACCGCTGGTCTGTTACGACTTGCTCCACCGCAAAGTATAAAACGGTTACCTGGCCTAATAACTACCCCTAGAAGCCGTGTTAGACAATATGACTGAACCGTCTTATCGGCTTTCCTCTCCCTCCCGGGACAAAAATGCAACATTACATAATAAGTCAAAGTCCTATTACCGGCCCTGATATAGATCTGATAATTTCATTCCATGTCTCATCGTCTGATATTTTTGTTGTAGTGAAGTCGAAACAAGGCAATTCGTTGTATTGAAGTTGTCCAATTATAGGTCTGTGCTTGATCAGCAAAAGGTTGCGCCTGGATGCGGTTGGTAGTTCTGTCAATAAGTTTATTTAATTAGGGGGCTCTAGAATTGGTGTCCGGGGGGACAACGGGCTAAGTGTTAGGAATACGCTCGCCACCGCACCTCTAATTACTCTGCGTGGGTTCGCAGGTTCGAATCCCATGCAGGGATGGTTATGTGCGAGAGGATTGCTGGACTCCTCGCCGTCGTTGGGTGGTTCACGTAACCGCTGGTCGGTTACGGCTTCCTCCACCACCAAGTCCATGCTTCCGAAAACAAACAATATAACTAATCCCATACCCGACTTGGAATGGTAACCGGACGAGAGGCCGTGGTTCGCCATATGGATAAGCCGTCTTATCGGCTTTCCTCTCCCCGGGATAAATATGTATATCCTATCCAGTTTCAGCTGTTCCGCGAGCGACCGGTGGATGTTTTAAGAATGTAAAGAATTTGTTTCGATACCGGTTCATGATCAGCATAAGTTAAAAATAACTTGTAGGATAACCTATAGTTTTGCTTGTCGCGTGGTTTCATCTCTTTTAGTTTTTCCATTTGGGATCAACAGGTCGTTCCCACTCACTTTTCCGTCTACAAAAGTGCACATGTGACGTCACAAATGTTTTTCAGGGTTATCGGCGATGTATTTTGGAGATACGTGCGAGAGGTTTTTTCTTTTGAACGCGTGAACAAATTCAATTTTAGTATTGAAATGGTGTAAAAGCTGGTGCACATCAGATCACTCGTTCTAGCGCATTTTTTGAAATTGTGTTCACCTAATGGCGACAAATTGTACGAATGACAGTAAGCACATGCGTTCGTACCGGTGGCAGCATATCTTTAAAAATGCCTTTTATTTCGATAACTATTGACAGTTTTTAGATTTGGTCAACGCCAGCATTTCCTCAATTGGTAAGGAAAGCCTTGGCTACTATCGTACCTTCCGAGGCTACGTAGCCTACTTATGTGAGTCAGGATTTTCATCCTTGGTTACATTTTGAATGGCACGCTCCCTGTCAGAGACGAAGACACAATTTGATGTACTTTTCGAAGCCGCACAGCAGCATCCTTTACATTAAAATTTAGATGAAGGTGTCCACATGGGGAGCACACAAACCAAAATATATTTTAGGGACCGCCTTAAATAAGTTTAAAAGAACCGTGAGTAAATAGAAGCTTCATTTTACAAACAACTTTGAATCTTTTGTACTAAGCTCCTGTCGCTGATGTAAGATTTGAGAAAACATCCCCATTATAAATAACAAATTATTAATTATCCAGTTGGGGTTGGGAATAATTTGAATTTGTGTTTTTTTGATAGGGGGGGGGGGGGGGGGGGTCTTTGAAGAAAAGATCCACAACTTTGACACCAACATGCACATTATGCAAAATTTAGGACCTATAAAGTACACAATGTCCACACCACCAAACGCAATTGTTATGAGGAAAATGAAGATTTACCGTTTATTTGAGTCAGAAGAAAATTTGATGTATCTTGGTCCGATAGAACAACAATAATCTTCCGGCATCTGAAATTTGAATACAATTGTCCACGTTTATATTACTACTAATACAGAAATAAATTGATTGAGTGAAATAAATTAAACGTAACTCAATACTAACAAATTCGAGTTCTATCAAATTTAAATACCTGTTTCATATACTGCGTTGCACAAATGACACATGAAAAATAAACAAAAAAAAACGATTTTTGTTCATTCACTGTGGGGGTGTTATATAATATATATAAATTTAAATAAACTATAAGGTCATAAAATGAACTAATCTTGCCATGGTCTCCAACGAGACGGGGGACAACATAGTATTGAATATAGATTAAAGGTGTAACTCGTAAATGCCCTTGTCATATTTTATGAGGGAGTGTGATAGGCTGACAAGCAAACCAATAGAACTCGATGGCAAGAACCTCTTCACACATCAGTATATGCAATATCAAATATCGCCCTACCTCGATAACATGGCCGTTAACTGGTTAGAAATACCAATTTCGACTGAAGGAATATCTTCGGGTAAACCATGGGTAATATTGACTTGTGACAGTCTTGGTATTAAATCGTCTATAACAAACTGAGAGTCCCATACGTCGTTGACAATGTAAACGTCCAAACAAGCGTGATTTTCATGAAGCCATTCTGTGAAAATAGAATTCATTTTCAAAGCATGAACAGCTATGTGAGGGTCTGCCAATTGTACATTATTTTGAGTTAAACTTCAAATGCATGTCTGTTCATTTATTTATCATGACACTTTATATTTTGTTCTTTGTCCATTTTATTTCATATCGGTAACTCCATATTCGCTTACAATCAACAGGGTAATGATGTATATACTAATTTGCCCATACATTTATGAAATGAGCACAAATCATCTAATTCGATCAGTGGATACCTCATGTAATACCTTGAAATCGAATAGTGAGTGACTATGTGTGTTTTTTCCTTTTATATTATCAAATTTATCATTTCATCCCAAATTTAAAGCGCAAAAGCTAAGCGGTTGCTTAAATCGGGCTTCGAGTGACACAGTGTATAATTCAAGCTTTGGGCTCAAAAGCAAATTTATATATATATCAAAAGCTAAATCAATAATTAAACCGTCCTGGAATCGCTTCCAAATTCGCCACTGCGTACTATCATAAACTCTTTTTTTTTGTCATTTCAAAGGAGAAATGTTCAAACTGTGATTCGCTTACAATAATGTAATTTGTAAGTTCTTTTATGTATATCCTTTCAATGTTGCTTAGTATGTCATGTAAAATGTTTTCATTATCGCCAAATTGACATCGTTTCCAGCCTGTTAAAGAATTTCTGATTATCCTAATGCACATACGAAAATCTAAGTTTACGGTGAGGCTCTATGTTGTCAAACTCCAATAGAAAACATGTATTCGCTTCAGCGCAACCTGCACAGTATGGTTATTTACGCAACTGATTATAATCCTGTAGTACAAACTACACCAGTTATAACCACGTAAAATAATAAGACGCATTCTATTTCCTAGTGTTATATTATCGTTTCTCTTTCAAAGTGCCAATAAACTACTGCTATCAAACAAATAAAGTAAGTTTGTTTAAATTACCATGGCTCTGGCTAACTCTTGCATCTTGGACCTGGTTTGATCCATACATATCGTCAGTGCGAAAGGAACCGAAATTCGTCGAAGCTGAGTTCGATAGTTGGACTTCAGGAAACGACTCGGGTATACAAGTGTTTGATGGTCCGGTTGAGTTTCTGCCATCGACCGCTGCGCCACTGTATCCATTGGATCCGTTGGCCATTGCACGATTGGCATCGCGGACTGTAAAGTGGGTGGAACAGATACATACATCAATATTAATCCACTGACCTGATGGAATATGTCTGTTTGGACGAGTGATTCCCAAGTTATGGGTCGCGACTCGAAGTCCCCAAAGACCTGAAAATCCTCCTGGGTAACCTGTTTTTGGCGCTCCCGAAGTATGTGCACTAAGATGGCGAACAACCTGAATTCTAACCTGGTACACATACTATGTTCAGGTTGTGCGCCAGTTTGGTGCACATACTTCTGGAGCTCCGTTTTTTTTCAATGAAATTATTTTTACTGGTCATATAGTGTCTATTTTGATATAAATAAGACTGATAGCCACTCGGGGCTCCGCTTGGGCTTAAATGAATAGAAGTTTAAAAATAATTTGAACTTTTGATTTTTATTAGGAGTCAAAATGACAATGAAAAAAACACAAGTTCAATGGAATTATCATTCTTACCAATGCAATCGATGACATTCTGATCAGTGAAAATATCGTGTCTTCCCATTTGGTAATGTATTAGTGTTATGATGTCACCAATTGTTGGTAAATCTCTCACCGACCAAGCTCGTACAATTGCAGCTGTGCGGAGTTTTTCTCTCTTGAATTGCAGAATCTGGTAAACAGGATCAAATTGGTAATTTCTACTCGCCCGTGATTTGCATTTCCAATACAGATTGAAAAGATACAATTTTAAACTGTTTGGTTCGTGGCCAAATACGTTTTTTGTGGTCGAGAAACAGGACTAATACTTACTGAAACTGAAGATTTTGTTATTAATGTGCTGTAAAGTTATTAATCAAGCGATTACATTATGTGCATAAAAATTGTTTGAAGTTGTGGTGACTAAAAATTTAATTCTCTAGACCAGAAATTCTAATTCTGACCAGAAATTTTATAATAACAATAACAATGTTTTGATAAATTCTTGTTCAGTTTTTGTACGCAAAATCGCTCTCCTGATCCAATCAATCTCAATATTTAGGAGTCATAATGTTGAATTTTTTCGATTTGACTAAATTTTTCTAGTTTTACTAGTTGTTTAATCACCTATATATATTGTATATTTTATCTCAAAGTTACCTCCCAGTTGTTAAACGACAAAAATTCTGCCATCGCTTCCCAATTTTTTCCTGTATAATGGACATCATCATGATCCAATCGTATGGATAGTTGATAAAGCGTTGAATTTCCTAGTATTTGTAGCTTATATGGTTTAAAAGGTTCAAGTTGATTCAAGAAGACTTCGCTGCGGGAACTGGATGCAAAGCTGGAACGTGGATTAGTGCTTTTGCCGTAAGACATTTCTAAGCCACTTTTTATTTAAGCATGAAATTCAACATATTACGTTAGTCTGGAAGTAGCCAGATTGAGAAGCGTTTTCTGCTTTTTTACTACGAAGATACGTACATTTTGTCAACATAGCAGCGAAGCGCGTTTAGCTCTGTCGCACACATACGAGTATAATATACTCTTGTACAAATAGAAACTGATTTGATAGATAGAATTATGTTTTCAAAATCAAATGGTTGTCGTCACTCCCAACTGGTTATTGATAATTTTCAATTACCCACCGTACTCCATCACTAACGGCATATGCGCCTATAACTGCGCTGATTGATACACGCCGTTACTGTGATAATATCCATATAGACAGCGGGTTTTTCGAAATGGCATAAACTATACTTCAATGTGATGTTCTCGTGGTTTCTTTCATGCGTACGCTTATGAATGAAGAATATGGTCTGATTTGCTCCATCCAGATCACTCGACTGATGTATTCTAGTTTTTTCCTATCTTCGAACATTGACAGTGTACAACATCAATTTTTTTCAATTCTTCTTCCAATTTATTTTAGCAGAACAATATAAAAAATCTCAATCAAATTGTTTTTGCCTCTCTTGTAGTGTGCTTTTGAAACATTCTAAGCTGTCTACAATTTGCTTCTAACTGAATACTATGACATGGTATTTCTTTTTATGGTGACCACATAACGTAATTTCTTTTGCTGGAATCACAAGCGATAGCCAAACAAAAACTGCTCTTTGACTTCTGTTTTTCTTTACCTTTGTTTGAGAAGAAATCTCGTCATCTTTAACTCGTTTAAACCGTTCATCATTTTTAGCGTATACGACAAAGAAATACCAATGCGCCTCTATTTTGTTCAAATTAACATTGGAGTAATTATGTTTATTACTATTTCCTCTAAAAACTCATATGAATTATCCGAGAATAGAAATTAATGAATGTGACATGATATGTCAATGTGTTAATAGCGATTTTCTCGATAGTCGCGTTTGTTATTCAAATAAAAATGTAAAGAAACGGGGCAATACCCTGGTACAGGCGATGGGTATGGATCGATGCCATACCTCTCGAATGTAGATAGGACCTTTGAAATTAGGCGATGCGAATCGTCGGCATTCTAAAAACAAAACCCGATTCTAAATACGTAATCTAGAGAAAAATCGTATATTATGCTTCGGCTGGCTGAATGAAAAATTTCGTTTGCTTAATCCAGATATGTACACTAAACTTTTTTCTTAAATTTGGCTATAAACAGTGTTGGTGCCAAATTTATATTTTAATTTCGTTTACCCCTTATATATTTCCCAGCCGAAAACCTCTTGAATATTCCATATCCGTTTACTGTACGTTAATAAGCTTAACTGACCTTTCTTATATATATATCACTAATCTCCTGACCTGCTCGATTTGATTTGATTTTGCCGAATTGTATTCTCTATTTTGTTGAAAAATAATTAGTTCATTTCATTTGACGTTTGTTTGACACCATCTGCTGCTAATCTCAGCAAACACGATGTCGCTGACACGACGACTCTGGTAGTCTTTTGCGCCCTGCGTCAATTGCGGAAATATTGTATGTCACTTTATTTTAATCGATTTTTTTTGTTACCATTTTTTTTTGTTCACTTGTGTCGGTACAACACTTCATGCACGACGGAAATAAAATATATGAATCTGAATGAACTATTTATTCTAAGCTCTACCTGAGTATCTTCCAATTGAATTTTACGATACGGAGTCACCTTTACTTTTTATATGGTTAACCTTATTTCAGTTTAGTGACCCACAAAGGCTGATCGAACGAAAGTTGTTTCTTCACTACCAATCTTCTTACTTTTATTTTCGGAAACATTCCTAGACTGCACAACGAAGAAATAGTATTGTGACCCATTTGTTTAAATTAACATTGGAGTAATAACATAATATATATATATATATAGGGACAATGATGGATATTATTATTTCACAGAAGATTTAACTAAATAGTGCCCGGTACTTTCCACAGAAATAAAATTATCGGCATTGTACCGCCAGGTCAGCATTGCGAGTGTCGGACTTAGGGGAAGGTGGGGTACGTTGGGACATGGGGCACAGTGGAAAATCAGCTATCACACTGATACTATATCCGCAATCCTGTCCGCGGCTCGATGTTCCAATCCGCCCTTCGGTGAGTTACAACGTCCCCGCGAACGGACAACGGACGGGTAGAGCGGCGCAAGCTATGGGGTGAAATTGGTTTTGGGAGGTTGAAAAAAAAATTTCACCGTTCCAGTTTTTTCTTTTTTTTAGTTCAGCCTTTCCAACGAGACAAACCATCGTCTGATATTCTTTAGCGTCAGTCCACTGTAAAATATTCCTAACGTTAGCGATTGGCTGTGCCTTCCGAATTTTGCCGTGGGATGGTCTGAAAGTATTTGTTTCCTATGGGGAACAATGGACCGGGGTTCAGTGGGACATGCTCTACAGGGCACAAATCGACAGTGTTTGATACAATAAGTGCTTAGAGACTTGAAGATGCGTTATATTTTGTGTAATATAATGGTTTCTTTCGACCCATGGCCCAATATGGAATATATTCGTGAATCAATAATATTTCCAGATTTAGATTCGAGGAAGGAAATAATCAAATTTTTTTGCAAAATGTTTTGTCAAAATATCTGAACTATTTCAGTTGAACATTGATTTTAAAAATATTAAATCTTCAAATTCGAAGTATCGCCGTACTTTAGACGATTATGCTGATTAATTGCTTATTTTTAAGGGCATACTTCGTTGAATTTTGACAGACTGACCCATTGTGCCCCAGGGTCTGTCCGATTGTGCCCCACCAGTGGGGTACAGTGGGACACTTGACAGACGTTTTTCAAAGCATTTTCGTAGTAAGATGTGTGTCGCAAGGGAATTTCTTTGTTGCTGAATAAAAACTACATTTACCCCTCTATGCATTAGTCCCGCAAACTTAAGAGAATATGCAGAATTAACGGCTCAAAATATGCAAAAGAAAAAAAGTGTCCCAACCTTCCCCACTTTCCCCTACATGATTACGTGCGGCTGTGCAATAAGTTCATGCGCCCCACAAGTGAATCACCGAAAACCCAACGTTTCCAGACTTGCTATCAATTATCTGTTCACCAAATGAACTAAACGAGATAGATGCAAATGCGCGCTTATATGCATTCGACAGCTAAGTATTTAGAGCGATTTTTTGAGATATTGTTATATATCAGTGGCTACTTTTATCTGGCACGAGGCAGCGGTAAGCGTCGTTTGACGTCTTTATTCAAAAAACAATTATTCAGCCCGACAATTTTGGGATGGCTGCGTCCCTGCTGCTTCATTCCTTAAACTTCAGGCTGAATATGATGATATGAAGTCTAACATCATATTATTCGCGGAATCTATTTACCGGGTCCAATAGACTCGTTATTTTGTCACGGCAAAAATCTCCAATTGTCCCAAACGCATGTTTTGCTAATGGATTTAATAAAGCCAAAAATCATTTTTATAGAGTTTTTTTGTGATGTTGTGGACATTTCAATCGAGAAAAGAAACAAGAATATTCATGTACGGAAAAATTAAAATCCATCCATATTTGCGAAGAGAAACGATTTTCTCAACATGAACAGTAGAGCGAAACAGCATTGTCCTATGTCGTGTGCAGTGATAATAGCGAGCAAGCGATTCTTAAATAAATAGATTCGAAGTTTGTGCAGGTTAATACACATCCGGTATAAACTAAGCACTGGGTTGACTGAAAATATAGGAGGACAAGCGTGGCGGAATAAAATGTTTTCATGCGTGAAAAATATGTGTTAGAGTGAATTGAATTGAAATTTGGTCTGTAATGAATGTCAGACATTAGTTGCGAGGAAATCGAATTCTCTGGTAAGAGACACATAACAATAATTTAATACAAGAGAGCTACGCACAAATATATGGACACGTTAGACCAGAGCGAATCAGTCCTTACCGGTACCTTTGACGCTACCGGTACCCTTAAAAGAGTTCTGAATTTCCAGTAGCAGGAATTTTGCAGAATCAAAACGTACAGCCAGTCATGACACAGACTAAAATCCGTGTTCCCATGGATAAAAAATAATACAGCAAAATATTAGACGAAATATCAAATTTCATAGAATTCACGCAAAATTTTGAAATAAATAAAAGTAATAGCCTTCTGGAGAAAAATTTTATCTTCAACCACTGAAAATTTCAAAGCAATTGGTCCAGTATTCGAAGAGAAAAGCGACTTTTTAAAAACGTGTCAAAGAACAAGAACAACAACAACATAATATTGAAACGATCGTTATGGCCACTAAACGTGTCCAATAAAACGATCCAAATAATAATAACAATACATTCGTAAATTACCTGTTTACTACCTAACTACTACGTACTGTGACGTCTGTGACGTTGGTAGGAAAAAAGTCTTCTCGTTCGTCATTGTGAAATATGGAAATTCCCTGCCGTCATTCGCTCCGATTGGTTGTTGTTTTGATCGCAGACCATCATTTTCTTTCGGTCGCCTCGTATAACGTTGTCAAATTTTGTTTTATAATGGCGGCATATCACTGTATTAAGATCGTGGATTTATCTTTAAAATATATATCGGGACTACAGGGAACTTGCGGATTTTTCAAATGTGGATTATAAAGTAAAATGACAGCGAATTTCACGTCCCAGGCACAAACGAAGGAAGGTTTTTAATTCCAGAATTCAGTACGGTACCTCACTATGACGTAATTTTTGGACGACGCAGTCAGGTCTGCAGGTGGGGGTTAGGATTGACATATGAAAAAATTGTTTTGCTACACCCACTAGAAATACAAAACTACACTAGACTCAGCTAGGCTAGTGGGGTTCTGCTTTTGTCTGTTTGTATCCCATATTCCTGTATTCAGCTTGTTTGTATATTATGCCATTTTTTGACATAAACTATTTACCTTCATGTACATTGTTCAATTGAAAATTGAGCTGATCTGCTAGCAGGCTAGGACTGTCAGACTGTATGATATGATGCTAAGAGTGAATGTTAAGATTGAGTCAGTTCAGCATTGAGTAATTGTTCATACTGTTATATCTTTATGATTTTCATTCAAGTTTTAATATTTTATTTATTGTTTTTTTAAAAACTAAATATAGGTCTGTAGGTTTGTATGCTTCTCTAAATTGATTTCTTTGGTAAAAATTTCATTGTTCCTTTTTTATATATATGGTACCGTATATAACAAGCGAAGATATTTCCTAACCAAGACGATTATGAACACTCTAAATTCTATTTTCTAGATATTCTTATGACAAACTAGAGTAGCAACGCAAGCTGACTGAATTAGTTTATAGTAGCCTTCTTCATCAAACTTCTATACATTTAGAAATCGCTATATTATACATACAGAGCGAACAGATAACAAATGACAAAAACAGTGTTTTTTTTACGTAGTGAAGCAGAAATAAACCCAAAATAGGAAGAGGGAAGAGTTCATCCAAAAAAGGTTCAGAACCACTGGTATACCGGTATAGCATAATGGTTCATAATAATTTAGGCTGAAAATATAGACTCTTAATACAGTAATAACTCAGGTATGTCCTAAAGCTCAATATATGTCATGGAAATAAAAATTGTTTCTTCAATATATTCCGTTATTTTATTTCTGTTGCAAGTAATCAATTACTTTCCTCACTAAAAACCATTTACAATTTTACTAGAGATTGTATACTGAGATTCTTATAAGTCTTATATTATATTTACAGATTAGTTATTGTGAGATAAACTTTATAATCTGTTTGTAATTGTTGTAAACTTGACAATGAATCGTCCACGGATTCCGTGTGAAAGTGCATCATGTGACAGTACAACATCAGAATTCAATTACCCGACTGCTTCAGGAATAAGTTCTATGACACCAAGTAGTCATTATGCCACTGAACATTCTGATAGAGATTTGGAAAAACCTGATTTAGGTCTTGGCAGTTTGGCACCATCAACCTTTAATCCTAATGAAAAAGCAGGTGACATGGAGAGCAATTTTGGGGATCTTGCAGACAAAAAAGGTCCAGATTCATCTTTCCCACCACCCCAAGATGTAGGTGGAAGACCGCCTTCTTATAGTACAATTGGTGATAATAATGTTCAAAATTATGGACATGCTGCACCTCGTTTCTTTACACCTCAGCAAGGGGCAATGGATAAGTTGAGTACCATTTCTGATCTACCAGTTACAATCCTCGGATCTGTAACATTGTATGAAATGTCAATCAGATTGGATCCGGAACTACTCCCTTCACAAAATTGGAAGATGATGGCAGAATACATGCAGTTCAATAATTGGGAGGTGAGAGATGATAGTAATTTCAGTCCATATCAATTTGATTCTTGTTATTTTTTCCATGACATAGCTGAATGCTGTCTCTAGAGAAGAAATTTGTCCTTCAGTTGAGATGGACATTTTATTACATATTGGATTAAAATTATTGTTTGCTTAATTAATTTCCAATTTATGAACAGACCTTCTATTGCAGTGGTTCCCAACTTTTCGGTGCCTGTGATCCCCTTCAGAAGGCTTTTAGCTCTCATCCTGTTTATCATTCCGGTGGTAGCCTATTTATCATGTTATTTTGATTGATAGATTCCAAATCTTATTATGTTCATAGAATTCATGCTCAACAAAGTGAAAACACGCTGTGAAATATAACCTTATCATGCAATGAACATGGAGTTTTCTTGTAGCATAATAACCTATCTACCGCACTAAGCAGTACCGGGTTGGCTGCAAAGTGACGAATAATGCATAATATCCCTAAAAAAGCAGAACCCATAAATTTCCTACCTACTTTCACAAAAATGAAGAACATTAATTTACCATTTGAAACTTCTGTTTGTAAGTGAGCGTACATGATAATTTCAATAATCTGGGACACTTTGCACAAAAGTTATGTGCTCTCAAAATGTTCCCAAATGACTTCGGTTTTTAAGGAGTCACACTGTAGATAAAATTTGCATATTAAATTTTTGTTTTGTTTAATGATCAAATAGAATCGATTTACCTCAATTATTTCTACTAATAGGTAAATAACATTCATCAATTGAATAACGGTATTTTTTTATTAAAATCAAATTAAATCTTTGGAATCACTTAATGACAAGCTTAGTATTTATTCGAAGAGTCCAAGTCCAACTCTACTTATCATAACTTAACTTTACATAATTTTTACATCAGAAACTATGTTATATTCCGCTATGCTTACCAATTTTTGTTTTCAATAAAAGCAATATTATAACTTTCACCAGAACTAATGAGCTATATATAACCATTCTACATTTTCCAGATAAAAATGTTTGAACGTGAAGCGCTTCGAACAAAAGCTGTTATCGAGGCTTGGTCAAGAATGGGAGCACATACAATTGGCGAACTCATAAGTATCATACATCGTGATATGAACAGACTCGACGTGATCACAGATATACCTGATTTTATACGTGAGTATACTGATTTATTGAATATGATATTTTAAGTTTACAACAGGTTCAAAATTATTACTCAACAATCATAACGTACTTTTTTTATGTGTTCAATTTTCTTCCGAAAGACTTTGTAAATGGCGTGGCGTTTACTCATTGTTAATGCAGGGAAGTCTAAACTGAGCTTTTGCTGATTGGCAGTTAGGTCATGATTTGACGTTTTCACGCCTTACCCCAAAGCTTAAACTGCCAATGATATTTGAAGAACTACTATTTTTGTGTGAAACCATAATTCTCATTTACAAACAGGTATTACTATTAATAAACCAAATCTCATTGTTACTGCATCATTCATTTATTATGGTATCAATATCCCATTCTGTAAAAATTCTTTGAGAATATTCATTTTCCGATTACATTGATTCTAATATTTCATGATCTCAGTGAATGATGCCAAGAGACATCACAACAGCGCAAGACGAAGCTACGGACCTGATTCATACGGGATAATGCCCCCACCTCCCAGCAGATCAGAATCAGAAACATCCTTCACTTCTATTCAATCTACAATGACCGGAGTAACTGCTTGTGATCTCGGGATTTATTCAGAAAAACCAACTGCTCAGAATAGTTCTCGACCAGTACAAGTACCTGAAATACAGCCAAGTATTCAACGTTAGTATTTTATTCATAAAGTTGTTGGGTTATTTTCATATAATAATGTTCATGAACTGAACCTATATAGGAAATACATTCACATAAATGACAAGTAATGAGGTATACGTTACATATTATTTGATTAGGCGTTTTGGATGGAATAGAATATTTTTAAATTTATTAAGGAGAAAAATTTCATTTTTTCATTGTGCGCTAAATAAAGAACAGTAGAATAATAATTTAGTTTCTTATAATTTCACATTTAACACTATAACCTCAAATGAGTACATTTCTTCAAAAAATCATATGTTTATATTTAAAAAAAAAAACAGTCTCATTTCCCAAAAGGTGACATTTCATCAACTAAACCATTGAAATATTATTTCCAGTTATTGTGTTATTTTATGCCAAACTTAATATTTGACAAATTTTCTTCCAATTGAACAATTGGTAATATTTTTTAGTCTGTAATATATCATTTACTGGTCATTAATTACAATAAAAACATGTAATATGCATTTTTAAATTTTTTGTATTGACAGAGAAAAAGTACGATGCTTTTGTTCTTTGCAATATTGCTGACAAAGAATTTGTAGTTGAAAGATTTCTACCGAAAGTAGAAGATGAAGCAAAATTGAATCTTTGCTTTGCTGAGAGAGATATTCCACCTGGCAATCTGACATTCACAGATCAGATGGATTATATGTTCAGTAGGTCAGTACAGTAAAGAGAGTACTCCTGTAGTATGTGTACCAGGTTAGGGTTAGGCCATAATTTTATTCCGTTTTTCATTATTTTAGTTCTATTACGAGTTCATGGACTGTCTGTGTTAGCCAAGTGAATATACCCCCTGCCCATAGGTTTCAGTCAATTTATACAACTTGATGTAAAGTAGGCAAACAAAATGAGTTACCTCCATATTGGTACACACACTTCTGGAGCGCTTTCAAGATTGTAGAAACTAATTCGGAAACAATATTTAGTTATAACATGCTCTGTACAGAGATTACAGTTTAAACCAGTAAAGGTTTGAAAGGTTCGAGTCACTCACTCAGCTTGAATTGAACTTGAGTCCCAATTCATCAAGTACTGATAATGAGTCGAGACTGACTCAATGCGGTTCAGGGACTTTTTAACAAGAGTTGAGCAAACCCAAAACCAAAATTGAGCTCCTTTGAAATTTTTTCCACAGAATCACTATCTAGTACAGGGGTGGGCAACAATGACGTCCTCGGCGGGCCGGATTATTACAAAAAATACTCCCGTATCCAATCTTTGTTAAATGCTCGACAGTCTTTGTCAACTTCACGTTTCTGGGATATTCCATGGATAATAAAACTTACCTAATATAAAATCTAATTTTTAAATTCTTTTATATTTAGAATCTAAATATAAAATAAAACTGATAACAGTAGTGGGAAATGTTTACAACGCTCTCTGCTTTGACCTTATTTGTTTAACAAGTGTCCTAACGCAATTGTTTGTTCACTTAGACAATTGTTTATTTCCCCAGCTCGCACTGACAGTGCGAGAGTATAGCGATCGGCAATTTTCAATGCGTCGGACCACATAACAGAGTGTGGTTGGATACAGTCAGCGGGCCGGTCAAAATCTCGTGGGCCGTATGTTGCCCACCCATGATCCAGTATGTTACATGATTTAGTCGTTCACTAATTTGATGTGAACTATTCAAATCTGAAATAATTTCAGGAATAAGATATACCATATCATTTTGATTCGCCCCTATTTTAGTAAAAAGAACTAAATCTTATTTTTAGCTTCAAGTTGATATACATTTTATTGCAACTGTTATATATTTAAAAAAAAATAATATTATAGCAATTTTATGATGACATTATTATTTCAGATCTCGGAAACTAGTTGTTATTCTGTCAGACAAATTTTTTCAAAGCCGAGAACACGAATGGCAATCAAACTTGGCTATCAGTCAAGATCCTGGTACGTATTAGGCCAAATTTTCACAAATATTCTATAGTCTACCTATATGTAATGATTCAATATTGAGGGCATAGATGGGCCAACCCAAATAATTTACTATTTTGAATAGTCTAAATATATTCAAAAGGTGTGAAAGTGGCAGTGATTCAACCGGTTCTCTATTTTTTTTAGTTTTTAAAAAAAAAAAATTTTTTTTTATGTTTTTCATTGTCCTGTGAGACCTAAACTGTTCAGAACAATATATTTTTCTAAAGAAATTATTCTACTAAAATCAATCGATGACTCAAAATATTGAATATTGAAATGTTTTCATTTTTATTCTATTCTAATTTTCGATTTTCATTGGATTCTGGTTGTAGGTAAATAGTTAGGAACGCCTGACCATGATTCTATTCCTAAATTATTCAATAGCAACATCTGTCATTGGTATCTACGATTTCTAATATACAATTCTCATTTGGTATCTCTTACCTTTTTATGTCATCGAATGACAAAGAGTAAATATTAGAATTACGTTGTTTTGAAAATAATATTCACATAATGATATACTGGTATTTTCAATTTACCGATCACTATCACATGTCATTCTAAATTATATATTTTTTTGTTATTGAACAATAAGGGGGTTTTCACTTCTTTATTTTGGGCACAATTTACTTCCTGTTCTGTGATTTTGCAAAATTTTCCAATTGCAATGAATTTTAAATGTAGACCATTCATACTTGTATTATTTTATATTTTGAAACAGAAGCCTAACAAAAGTAACTATTCTCTTTACTTTACTCTATATGACGTCTATTATTGAGTCAAGCCATTTCTTTGAATCATTTTGAATTTTCGGTATTCGTTACATGCAAACTACTCCTTTCAACGATGAATATATGACGTGACTCATTTTCAAACCTGGCTGTTCTTAGTGACAATGTGTCTAAGAGTATTCCATCCATGGCCCAGATTTTAACTGTTGCTGATTTGCTAATTCCCAGTCACTGAGTCTCTCTTTTCAGTGATTTGTTTCGCATTTCTGTTTCACAATATTGAAAGTGAATTTAATTTAAACTCCAATACTATGTTGATAAATTTTTGTGTTGAGTGATAAGGTAAAGTGTAGAGATGGTTATAATGTTTCGGTCGGGATGTAAACGACTTCCTCCTTAGAGCATATTATGCATTAGATTAGAGCGAATATTCAAGTTTAAATGTTTCTTATATGTTATTTCATTTTTGAGTATAAATTACAATTACTGAAACAACAAACAAATATACTAACAATCTTGAATATTAAATTCAAATATTGAAATACATAGGCTACACAATAAAATTCAGTATTTTAAAACAGTTACGGTATCTTTATTAATGTATGAAAATTTCAGTTACAATAACAATTTTTTTCGTTTCATCTCGTGAACAGCATCTCGTAAACAACGAATCATCCCGATAAAATACAAGAAAATAAACAACCGCAACATTTTTGATCATCTTGGATGTTGTGATCTCACTAAAACGATGAAGGAACAATGGTTTTGGGATAAAATTATCAACGGCATTAAGGCTTAAATAAGCTTGAAATAACAAGTAAGTAAAAAATACATTATGTATCCTTAAGAATTGTACATATTAACTGTTTGATTGTCCAATATTTTTTGGGTGATAGACAGTGAACTAACAATTTTCAGATGTTAAACTCAGTATACTCAGTCCTAATAAAGTTAGCATGACTTCGATTTTAGAATGAAATATAAATATAGCAGAAGAAGGTATCCTTATCTTATAGAGAGTTTTCATTTGTTTTAACTGCTCAGTTTACTACTTGGAAAAATCGTAATTGAATTGCTAAATATTCCCAAATTAGAAAGTTAAATCTTGAAATCATTATGATAATTGAAGTTAGCAGCTCAAAGTACAATTTTCATATTGTTCAATCCTTTTAAATTTCTCATGGCTGACTAATTAAAACATTTTATACATCACTGTTGTTGTACTGCCAAATTATTGACCAGTATATTAAATATTAAAGTTACCAGTTCATTCGAGACAAGTCCAGTCTTAACTAAATAGTATATACAGTATATATTATAGGTTTGTAGCCATCTCCATAGACACGTTTATTTTTGGCTCAAAACCTAAAATGCTGCGGTAGTAGAGATACCCGAGCGATTTTTTATAAATAGATAAATCAGTGACATTAATTCTCTAATTTTGATCTGTAAATGCATGATAATCTATTTTCTTCAACAATTGGACAAATTGAAATTTTATTAAATTACTTACACAAATGTTTTATGTATCCTTGTATATTTTTATATGATTAAAATTAACCTAGTCACAAATTTTAAACGCACTTTTATATCTGACTTGCTTCATTGCATAAAACTGAATATTCATATTGTGTCTTATTGTTTTCAGAACAGCCATCCTGTTTTACATTTTCTACAGACTGTGCAAACAAAAACATCTCATATTGCTCAACTTAATGTCATTGCGGAAATGTACAATACTGTAATAAAGTTTAAGAAAAATGTCAAGTCGAAATTTCGATAATTGATAAAATCGTTTGGTTTAATCGTAATAGCTTATGCAACCCATGCCTGACCTGGACTTAGCAGGAGAGAGATGGTATACATATGATTGCCTCTCTGCTGGTTATCTTCTGAAGATGAAAATTTAGTCCTATGCTGCCCATTATATCAGTGGTTCCCAACTGTGTTGTTCATGACCCCCAGAAATATTTTGAATACGCATATCAATGAGAGTTTTTACATCTCTCAAATTATCTGATCAAAAAATATTTAAAAGGTTCACAACTTATATTGTTGGAAGGATTCATGCCATGAAAAAGATTGGGATCCAACCTATTGAACTGTAGAAATCCTTCATAACTTAATTGCTGTTATTGTGTGATTGGGTTTATCTGTAAATAGTTGTAAACATATTTTTTATTATTATGAAATATTTCTCTTTTTAGCATTTTCAATTTTATCATTTATTATGATCAGTATCACTTTTATTGTATATATTACTTAATACTCATAACTCGCAAATTTTAAATGATGATCATTAATTTAGTACAACATTTCCCAGTGAATTTTGTCGGTTTCATGGGATTTTGCTTTGTATTGGCTTTAGTATTTTGTTTTCATTGTCATGATGATTGATGAGATTCCGAAAGTTCCAAACAAATGCAATGATGTACCCCAGATAACACAATATTGAGTATTTTTTTTTTTCATTTTCTTATTGCCAGGTTGGTTTGAAGCAATGAGTTTTAAAACTCCCTTTGCTGGGCTATTTTGTAATTAAAAAAATATTTTGATCATTAATATTTTGTCAGCTGTAAAAAGAATTTTCAAAACAAGTTTTGGTCTGCTTATTTTTTGGAATGGTCTTGTGTTCTGAATAATATGACATTGCTATTGAGAAACTGCCTTTTTTCCTTTGTTCTGTCAATAAAATGCTTTGTTACGTGATGGTGTTTTCCCGGTTATTCGATACTTAGGAATGAAAGGTTGTTAATAAGGTCCGGGTGTTTGTTGTTGTAACTGCGTGTATCACGAATATGTTTCACGAATATATTTCTGATACTGTGCGTGTACAAGGAAGGGCCTATTGAATTGCCTTGATGTTTCATTTTCATGACCTGTTCGCAGTATTATTAATGAATTTGCAGAAAAAACTCTTCTGGTATGTTTGGGCCTTGTCCTGTTCGGCTGGTTACCTAACTTTTCTATCGTGCCAATATTGTTTATAACCAACCTGCATGGGGGGATAATTATGTGCGAGAGGATTGCTGGACTGCAGAGGGGTGAATTAACCGCTGGCCGGCTACGGCTTCACCCCCACTATCAAGTACGAAACAAATAATTAGGTAACTAACCAGACACCGCGGCCTCAAGTCGTCCTCGAAATATTATTTAAACATCAGCAAAGTCGTCGTTGAAATATTATTTAAACATCATCAACGACTTTGTAAAAGCAATCCACTTTGTATTCAAGTATCTAAAATCGTGACATACCGAAGTGTTCTGTGGTCTCTCATAAACAAATACGTGGAAATTCCCTGCTATGACGCACACGCTATTCTTAAAACACGGAAGCGCTAGACCGAAAAAAGTCGAGTGCGTTACACAGCAAGAGTCCTTACAGTGGCACATGATGGGAATTCCCGGTGATCACACAATAACGGAACCACATCTCTTTAGCGCAGGCAGACCATCTCGATTAAAAATGTCACGTCACCGCATAAAAATTTATTTGCACAAAGAATAACGCGAAGATAACTGAACGAGAATCATTATAATAAAACTACCAAACGCAATAAATATTGACAGTCGAGGACCAAAACACAAAAGAGTCAAATACAAGAATAAGAATTTAAAGGTTCTGGGTGGTGCTTCAATCAAATGTTGAATGTTGGTTGAAAATGCGTAGTGGAGTAATTTGACCGAATGTCAGTTATTACACACACACATACATTGCCTGTAGAATGGCAAAGACAGTCAAGTGAAGAAAAAAAAAACGAAAAGCGCGAAATGTTTCAGCCTAAGAAAATTGAGACAAAATAGCTGAAAAACAGGAGACGGAAAGTCTTACTTACTTTAATCTCAACGGCAACAAACATTTCAATTAAAAACATAAAATCTACCTTTTTGAATAACATAGGTAGGTAATCAATCACTGTTGTTACTGCTGGAATATTTTCTTCATTGTATTATGTTTAATAGTTTTGAATTCGTTTTTGTGGTCCTCCCTGAGTATTCGTACCAAGATGGCGCACAACCTGAACATAGTATGTGTACCAGATTGGGGTTGTTCAGGTTGTGCGTCATCTTGGTACGAATACTTGCGGAGCGCCGTTTTTGTGGCAATAAATCTCTTCCTTTGTGAATTTCAACACTATTGACCTTTAAGGCCTGTGTGACTAATAGGGTTTCAGAATCCAGCATTTTCTTTACCAGTATACATTACAAAACTGCAATAACTTGCTTCACAACAGTTTAAATACATGATCAAGTTGAAACACCATATCACATGAGTGATTTCACATTATGATGGATCTCGATACAAAAGTTAAACCAAAACTTAATACACATCTTTTAAACTTGAATGTTCTTCAATCGATTTAGCTAAATATTCACAGCTTGGAAAATAGTAATGGGTCACAAATTCAAAAGCAGGAAGTAAATTTTTTAAACCTAAATATTTAGGATGAATTTTATGTAGCTAGCATAGGCAAGCTTCATTTAATAGGCTGTAAAGAACAATTAGTAAATTTAAAGGTTTTTCAGCTTCTGTAGAAAATTTTTGACTTTTTTTTCGCCATTGAAAGTATGAAATTTTACCTCAACTATACAGAATTCAGAATTTTTACTCTGAAACCGGGAGTTTGAAAATTTTGATTCTTAGTCAAGCAAATGGGTAGATCAATAATGAATACCCCAGCAAAGAATACATACATAATTACTGTGACCAAGACGCAATGATGGCTGTACAGATAACATAAATAATAATAAAAAGAAACATTTCAAAAATACAATAGTGATATATTCTACATTAAGCCATGTTTTCGGAAGAAATTGCACAGATGCAAACATTGTCATTTTCAAGAACTGTAATTTTCCAGAAATTGAAAAATAAACTAGACTTGAATCTTAACAATAGGAGAGGTAAAGAAGGTTATGTTTTTCTAACCAGTGTTCCACGTTCAAGAATGTCCATCCGAATAATTCACGATTTCATATATATTTTCTAATAGGAAAAGTTAGCCCTTTTCGAAAGACAACAGTCATAAATGATTCTATATTCATGAATATTTAATTTTATAACAGGAAGAAGTCATGATAGACATTATGATTACTATTTTCTGCAATATTTCGAACTTAAATATGTTGGTGTAGGTAGTCAAATGCTTAATAATACAATTTTTTGCTTAAAATAAAGGATTAATTCATAACAAACTGAGTAATACGAAAGCATTCAAATATTCCTTTCGTTGCATACACCGATAAGAGTTATAATTTCTCGATCAATTCGCTAATAAAATCAGTGTTAGAATTACAGGACAAATACCAATGTAATGAAACCATAACGAACATTTTAAATAAATTGCACATCACCATCAAAATCACAATCCAAGAAAAAATAAATGACACAAAAGCAAACAATAAAATATTTTATTTTAAATCTTTTAGTAAAAAAAGCATGAAAAATATCACCAATTTTAGATACATTTACTAAGCACAGTAAATAGTAAATATTAGTAGGGAGCTCAAATACACTGCTTATTTCAGACAGTATCAGTATTCGATCATTATATCAGTATCAACCTAACCTTTACATTATAATAAAGGTATTAACAAAACAAAAAACGTCTGTGGCCAATGATAACCCATATGAATGTGTACTACAAATCATGCTTGGCAAAACATACTTTCTTGAACCAGGGTCTTGGACACTCATGCATAGAATGCAAAGTTTGGCACCACCGTGCATAAGGATTAACATTGAAAAATTAGCACAAAATCTTAAAAAAAACGACGATAATAATTCTGTATCACGTCATACGATAAAATCCAATTTTACTTTGACTTGCACTGCATATGTGAAGACATTCTCTCTATGTACTAGAAAAATTTTCAACCATACTGATAAAAATGAGATAAATTAATGCATTACAAAGCGCTTCACAATGGTTAGTGTAATATATTTAATCTGTAACACAGAAATCGCGCTAATAAATACAATTTGAATTTTCAGAATATTTCAACTCCTTATATATATATGGTGTAAAGAAAAAAAAATGTCTGATCTGTAACACAGAAATCATGTTAATAAATACACTTTGGAAAATTGAAAAAAAGATCCCCAGCTAGGTGAAGTTCTTACTCCTGAAATAAGTATTCCTAATTTCTTATTCATCCCTTGTTATACTGGTAATTGTGTCGGAAACAGAGTGGATGTGATGCTCCATCTTTTCGTTTTGTTTTTACTAAATAATCTTTTTTTTATTATTCAGAGATGTATCGTTTATTTTAATCTTATTTTAAATGTTTTTATTTCCATTGGTTCAATCTTCCAGTCTCCATCTGGTGGTATTTCGTCTTCTGTGTATTGCAGTGATAAACTTGTACTAACGATGTTTGTTGCGGGATAAAACGTAGCTAGATTAAGAAAGTCTTCTGTAAAATAAAACAGGGTTTATGAAACGACTGAGTAACAAAATAATGCCACAGGGTTCCTACTTTATAATGAGATATTTCACAACCATGTCCCGAACAAACCTCTGGGCCTATGTTGTTAAATCTAATCATGTATCTAATTTGATTATTTCATTAAAGGAAAGCATGCTTAATTACTCGAATGTATGCAGCCGTGAAAAACTCTAATTCCATCATAAACTAAAATATGAGGCGTTTTTAGCTTATGAGCTCTTTCACTGCAATAAATAGAAAATACAGCAATTTGTTTTATCTAACATTAGCTGATGAATCCCGAAATCTAGGTATGTTAAAATTATTCACACACACAGTATACTTGGCCTCTGATCCAAGTTTCTACACTATATGGAAAATAAGAAGAGAGCGACTCAATCTGCACAGAGTACAGCCTACGCTAGTTCATGTTCTGTGAAGTTTGATAAACAAGTGAGATAAGTTGGTGGATATGAAAATTTTAAAGTCTCACAAAATAAAAGAGTATAATATTCCAAATTTCTCACCTGAATCGGAAGCAAGGCAAGATGATTTATATAATCTGCAAGTATCAAGATGACATTCATGTCCAAACTTTTGAACAATCAACGCAGATTCATCTGTCGGTGTTCCCTCTACTTCTTTTGATTCGATGCTTCTCAGATTGACAATGTGAACACTACACGGCAGAGGAGGCTCATCTGCACTTTGTTTAGAACCCGCAAGAGGTAAGTAACTGTCTTTATATGTTGTCGTTACTTCATTATGTTCAATATTTCGATATTGCATTGACCACATAGGGTGAAGAAGTTCTAATAACGAGTGATGCGCAATTATTGATGGAAAATGGTTGTCAGAAGAACTGTCTGGTACGCCTGGTGTATTGCTCCAACGTTCAATTAAAATAACAAAATTGTCTGACGTAGCTAGATTGTCTTTTGTCGCTTGTCCCATCCCTCGATTGTCATCTTGCATCAATCGTCGGTCGAGAATAATTTCCAATTGTGATGAAACAAGGGAGGCGACACCACGAGGCTGACCAGTTAGAACAGTGAGTCTGTGAAAGTAATATTTTGAATGAATAAAATTTTTCCATCAAGTATTTCATACATATGAAATGGATGGACCCATATCGCTTGTCGTGGACTCCACGATTCCAAACTCTGGAAGACGAGTTCAAAAATTTAGCTTTGACTGAAGAAAAAAACAGGCCAAACTACGACTCCACGACCCTGATAGCTTATTCAAAGCCTAGTTTCGAGAGAAAGTGTAAAAATGTCTCATTTTGAAAAAAAACACTTGCCTTGCTTTTTCATTTTGAATAAACGCCATTGTTGGCATAGGATAAAAATTTGCTTGGATTGGAATCTTATCGAGACGAGTTTTCCGTTTCTGCATCTGGAATCCATTGAGATCAGTAAAGAATGAGTTTTCATCGTTGGCTACGTCAGGAGCAGTGATTCTCATTGATAATTCTTTATTATCCATGCCATTTCTTATGTCTACTTTATTTGTGACAAAAATTCCAAAAGGTGCAGCACCAAGTTTGTCAGTAATTTGAAGCGAAACTCTGAATAGCAAAAGATCGAAAATAATTTGACCTAATGCTCTTTGGTATTTGAAACAATCTTGATTTCGTGGTAACTTATGGTAATTTCATTCAGAATGTAGGAAATATGCATGAGGCCATGGTTCACTATACAACTAAGCAATTTTAAAAAATGTAAATAATCCTAATCATATGTGGCAACATTTTATCATACTAAATACAACAGTGTATATTCAATTTATAAAGGACTATATCTGCAATTGTTCCTATCTTCATTTATTTATTCAGTAAATAAAAGATGTTGACATTGACGAACCATCTTATGATATAAGGAGTTGAATAAAGGCTCAAACACAACAGAGAGTGAGGCATGGGACCATACTGTAAAGACCTGCTATTATCGAAAAAGCCGAATTCTTTCTCTTTCGGCATTGCCTGCCCATTTAAGTACACCCCGTTGAACCCAAGAAATGTTGACTGCCGCTTTAAATCACCAGATAACTGTAGTGAAATTATCGATATCAACAAAAAAAAAGTGAACTTATATCGTACATGTGTTCAACGTTGGGTGCAAGTACGTGGACTTCCTTCAATAAAGGACCTTCAACAATTCTGACAATGGGACGAGCTGAATCTGTAAGATGTGGAGAAGCAGGACCAGACGGGAGAAATAAATAAGCTCCGGAACGTTCTTTTCCTCCTCTTGCTTCATAAACACCAAAATCTATGGCAACCTGAAATGCAATTTACATTTTGATTGAAATTGTAAAATTAATACTTCAGGGAATTTCTGCCAAAAAATATAAAAGTCACAATGCAGAATGCCCATATCTGAATACTAGAACAAAAAATTTCGTTTGACTGCCAAACATCCCAAGTAAATCAGTTATTCAACAAAATCCTGGATAAATATATATTTGAAATTTCACTTTTGATCAGATTCCATAGCAAAATATGCAAACTGATCAGAAAAACTGTAAAAATGGTTATTCAATACTTTTTGATATGTGTTTGAGGATTCTCAAATATAAATTTCAATCAAATTTTTTAATTAATCTCAATCAAATACATTCATAAGTAGTGTATTATTTTAAAATAAAAGCAAAATGTTCATTTCAAATATGCACAAAAAATTCATGCGAGAACAAATCAGAAAAAGTCACCTTCATTTTATTTTTATCCCTTTTTGTTGTTACTGATCGAAGTAAGCCGTTTTTAGTAGAAAACGATGCAATTAATTCTTCATTTTCAATGGAAAATTCTTCTGTAACGGATGGTTTTGTAGTGACGGTAAAATCATCGCAAAAATGTAAATTGTTGGCTTCTTGTACGTTCAACAAATCTACTTTTGATAAAGAATTCTGTGGGATGTTTTGAAAGCTGAAAAATTAAATATAATGAGTATGTTGAATAATGAGCATTGCTAGTTGAAAAATTATTTCCCAAAAATATGAAATATATTCTAGATTGGGCCATGTTTGACAGTGGCGTGTCAAACCATGCTGCTGCCCGGGACAAGTTTCTGATGACCCCTTATACCTAACTTCAAAAATAATTTGGAGGATAAACAAATTATAGACGTCATCATCAGTGGCGTGTCTAACTTTACTGCTGCCCGGGGCAATTTTTTGATGATAACATGCTGCCCAGGGCAGCTGCCCCTTTGGCCCCCCTTTAGACACGCCACTGATGACAGAGAAATTTTTCAAAACATTGCAAAGTTATCGAAAATAAAATTTGTTATGCTTAATAGTTGGAATAAACATTCGTTTTCTATTTTTCCCAAGGTAAAAAAACTAATTTTTGTCTCACTATCAGATCTCAAATGCTCAAATTGACAGATTTTGAACTGAAATAGTTCTAATTTATACCTAAAATTAGGAGATTCCTGTATCCAATTTATAGTGTAGTGTTATAGTGATTAATTATAAGAAGTATTTCCCACCATGAATCTTAAACTTAAAACAACCAACCCAAAATATATGAACCTGATTTGATAAGTAGCTAGTCCAGTAGCTGCAACCGTAGCAACAAAAACCAGTTCAAACTGGTCTAATTTGGTAGCAGTTGGTTCAATCCAAATGAGGTTGGTTTGTGAGGGAATTAGTTGGTTCTTGTGATCAGTGACCTTTACATGTGGTGCCGTTACAATTAGACGTACAAGACCTGAAATAAAAGAAAAATGTTCACACAAGGTAGAAAAAATGATAACAGAAGGTAATATAACTGCAATTACTGATAAATACTGATAATAGAGTTTTCCCGCATCGTGGTGGATTCCTCGCACCAAAAATCAAGAATTGCCAAAACCAAGAATCTATTTTCCAGAATATAATCTAAAATAGTCAAACATTGGATCTTATTCAGTCATATTTAAACACAGAAACAAATGCATATTCTTAAATTTTCTAATTTTTTTGTTTTCAGAAATTGAATGAACACCAATTTGGTTTTACTGTTAGACTTCCGTTTATAATGATAATTAAAACTTTTTTGGATTTTCCATGAAATCCAGAATATAAAGTATACTTAATTTCTAACTAATTCGATTAATTGATTTGTTTTGGACGTTCTAGTATAGAGCATATAGGGTTAGTTTGAAAAAAGCAGAATAAATAACACAAGGAGAAACCTTGAATACTCAGCTCAGCAGATAATTACTTCCTATTCGAATACAAAACAAAATCACAAAGAAATTACACTTACCAGTCCTATCATAGGAAAGAGAATTATAAATAACGATGGTGGATGGTGTTCCTGAAGTCTTGTCGATGTTAATGACAACTTTATCTCCAATCTTATCATGAGATGCAAGAATCGAATCGTAATCAAGAGTTAGGTCCTTTTCAGATTTAAATGAAGTGGGATCTCTCAGCAAGAGAAGTTCTGCGGAACGTGACATTACCTTAACGTAAGAGAAAGGATTATTTTTTTGACAATGTTAGACATAGAAATATATGAAAAAAGTGATAAATACGTCCCTCATAATGAAAATAATGATATTAGAAGTTGTTAAACCCCAGCAGAGCAATCATAGGTGTGGCACAAACATGTTCCAAATATTCAGCACTATGTTCGCATTAATTTGGTTGATTGATCTAATATTTTCCTAGATGGAATAGTGATTTATCAATTATTTTTCTATTCAAACTTATGATCAAGAATCGATTTTGTAACTACATACTATCAATGAATATCTTGTGCATAAAAATTCTATAAATATTCAATAATCTCACTTCTTTTGCCTTCATGACGCTGTTTTGTAATTTTCTTCCATAATCTTTTACAACAGGATCTTTAGAAGTTCCCGTGATACCGTCATGATGTTGGAATAATCCAAGATTTTGTCTTGCATATTGCAGTAAACTGAAAAATAATAAAAAATATATATTGAATAACAAAAAGCAAATACAGTCGTTGGATTCTGAGAATCTCATGTGTTCAATTTCAATGCTCAAATATATAAACACGAAGTCCGAAACAAAGTAGTATGGGTATCCAATCTTTTACAATAAACTATCAGTACTGTAGTCTTTTTAGACTTCACCTGAACACCAGATAGCAACAAACACAAACACAGAGGGGTATGCCACAAGATTTCAAATTTTTAGAAATAAATAGAAGTAATAGCCTTCCAGTGACAACAACAATCTTCGACCACTGAAAATTTCAAAGCGATTGGTCCAGTAATCAAAGAGAAAAGTAGATTTTGCATAACAACAAAAAGAAAAATACCAACAAAAGCAAGAACAACATAATAACAAAACAATTAATAGGTCCCCTCTGTGTCTAAAAAAAGCCCCAATAATCTCACTATAGTCTTTGTATTATATAAAATTGAATGGTTTTCCAGATAATTCCAGATAAAGTATATTGGCGGCAAAGACTAAATTGATTATTAGTGAAGGCATGAAAACCTTAAAATATTATTATTATATCATCAGGTCTTTTATGACATCTTATCAAAATATGAACTGACCATTTGAAATAGTCAAAAATGGGCATGAATTGTTCACAATCACAAGCACTGTTACTTCATAATTGCCGACAATCAGTGACAGAAAGCAGTAAAGAAGCTATTCAATGTGGAATATTCAAGACAGAACAGAATCTCATAATTACGAGAGGATAAGAGAAACAGAATTTAATGGCATAACCATATAGCTGGCAATAGAATCCTCCAGATACTGGTCCCCAATAAGAGAAAAGTTGACATGTTAAACATTCCTCAGATACAAAATTATACGCTAACTGAGCCTGGAATACTCACGGATATAATTTATTTGAAAAGGATGGATCAATTCCAGATTCTCTTGCAACTGGGAGAGCCAATGAAAACAATATTTCAGCTCCTCGTAAATGAGCTTCCAAATTTCTTTCCTGAATCAAAAACATTGGTTTATTTGTGATAAATCATAGCAATTGAATTTTCAAAAATAAAAAAAAGTAATAACTGTTTAATAACAATAAATAAACGTTTTAAACAATTCATGAATTTTAAAATGCTTTCTCAAAAAGGGCCTAGCTTTTGCATTTCTTCACTAAGAGAAAATCTCGCAGTGCCTGTCTTTAAGAAAATTATTCCAAATTGTATTTTTATATTTCTGGTTCTGATTAACAAAAGGAGTGAGTCTTATTACAGATTCAGAACTAATGACAATCTCTTGAAGTTTTTATTGTTTTTGTGCAAATAAATCGGCGCCACAGAAGTGTATGTATCAATATGGAGGTAACTAATATTGTTTGCCTACTTTACATCAAGTTGTGTAAAGGGCCTGAAAGCTATGGGCAGGGGGTATATTCACTTGGCTAGCACATACAGTCCCTGAACTCGTAATAGAACTAAAAAAGGACAAATCAGAATAAAATTATGGCCTAACCCTAACCTAGTACACACACTACGGGAATACCAACAAATCATATTGTTACCACTACCAGTATGGTTGTTTTAAAGAATAATTGTAAGTCTCCTTGAGATCATTTTACTCAATTTATTCCATCCATTTTCATTTCTATACCAATTTTTCAGTTCCTTAATTACCTGTGTTTTATAGAACGGTCTTGATGTATAATACCCGCTCCAGTAATGATCTTGTCTATCAGCATATGTAAAGAAATCTCCTGAGAGAGAAGGCAGATTCTGTGAACCGCCAACGTCATGTAACATTGCATCAAAATATTCGGAGAGTGTTGAAAATTTGGCTTCTGCGTTTAATTCAGGATGCGAGTTGATGTAATCAAAGAGTGTTGCATAGTTAGTGAATTGGCCTTCAACTTCATCCATCTGGATAATAAACAAGATGTAAATAAGTGACGGAGAAATGCTCAAATTAAGGCTGGGCATTTTCGAATACCTGATGATTTCAGAATCTAATCGATTTTTTTTGAAACGAATCGAATCTCAAATACTTGTGAGTCAATGGGAGATATGTAATTGTATGAGACTTTTTTATTGTTAAGTGGTCCTGTCAACGCATGAATTACTAAAAACATAGACTACATCACCCAGGTAGATTGCTGAGCGTTCACACACAATAAGAAACACATTTTATCAATAACTCACTACAGAAAATAGTCATATGTCAGAATTGCATTAAAAAAACATGGCTTCAATAAAAAAAATTGCGGAATTAAGCTGGACCATTGGCGGAAGGAAAAAACAAGATGGCGGCGATTCGAACTTGTGCTCTGAACCGATTCGATTAATTTACTATTCGATTCGAAATGCCCAGTCCTACCTCAAGTATAAGGACACAAAGGCCAAATGACTATTACAGCCACTGCAATGTCAAAAAAATTTCCAGGCAAAGATTAATAATACTTTTTTCAATTTTAATTTCATATGTTTAATTAATTAATATTTAATTTTATTAATGTCAAACTTTCTGGGGCTTTTGGCCCTTGCAGATAAATAATGTGAAATCTTTGCAAAGAGGGGTGAACTTGAATATATGATAATATATTATGAAAATTCACATCTATATCTCCCATACATAGTAATCTATAGCGTGACGTGGGCAAGTTCGTACAAATTCACACAAAACACCAACCATAAGTCAAATCAAATGAAACTGTTTCAGGGAGTCTGTATATTAAAAATTGGAAAAGTGGAAGCAAATTGAAACAAAGAGATAATATACATTAGAATAGCTCGCATCCTTGACTTTGAGAAACATCAAAACAAATTATATATAGACTGTATGAGTGAGTCATAGCCATTGCCCATATCCCCACCCTACAATGTGACATGAATAACGCTGAACTTCCAAGTACCCACAGGCCACAGCATGTAATTTTATTTCCAAATTGATTCAACAGAGTGGAAAAAGTCACACCCAGATGTACTTCCTGCAACACCCCATGGGCATGTCACTAGACAATAGAAACCTATTCAAGCATGAAACCAGAAATTCTATCCCTAAATCAGGTGGATTTCTGATTTTACAAAGAAATGCTATAATATCATTTAAAATTACAAATAGTCATTCTCTATCTTTCAATAGTGGACATAAAATTATAGCAATTTACTAAAATTTTATCTCAATTTATTATTCTTTTTTGGGGGGGGCTAAACATGTACAGTTGATGATTCATACTTATTAACTAACACATGCGCAGGTTTCATGTATCCATTATATTGATATTTTTTATTTGGTATATTCATGGTTTTTAAACATTTAAATGATGCCAGAAGTGATTTACTATTTGATAATTCACTATTTTGTAAACATTCTGGAATATTATTTTTGAATATGGAATAACTAATACAGTCTAAATTGAGTCTTATTAACCAGAGAAATATGAAGAAATTATATATACAAATGACTTTGGTGAAATCTGAATAGTGGAGATACATTATTTTGAATGACTTTCTATTTATACGACGTCAGGAGTTACCTGACCCTCCGAAGTAAAATGTCCATTTTAAAATGAAAATGAATGAAAGTTTTAAACTATTCCTAAAAGTAGAATAACTTATCTGAACATTACATTATATTTCATTGCATGTTTTAACTGTTTCGTTCTTGTTCTTTAGATTGTATTTTACTTAGATTGCTTAACTTGGTTGGCCTTGTACTATAGTTAATACTTCATGTGAATTGATTTAAATATGGCGCTGCGAACAGAAGACAGTTGGAGAGATTTTTTCATATCAGCTGAAATACCTGCGGAGGAAGCATCAATATATTCTAGAAAATTCATGGAAAACCGTATAACTGAAGTCACACTTCCTAATCTATCTAAAACAGATTTGTCTGATTTGGGTATCCAAGCTGTTGGGGATATTTTAGCCATCCTCAGCCACAGCAAAGCAAAAATGACACTCGAAGCCCACACACAACAAACAATAGATGCACCAAGAAATGACTCTAATATCATAAAGCCTCCTCCACCCAGAATGCCGCGGATAGAAATAAACATGACACGACCTCAATTTCGAAAATTCAAAACAGATTGGGAAGTGTTTAAGAAAATGACAAGACTTTCTGATGAACAATACAGTTCCCAGTTATACAACATGTGCGATGAAGCAGTTCAAACAAGCATAATCAACACAGTAACGGATTTTTTCAGTCTCGATGAAGAGGATATTCTTAAAGCAATTGAAACAATTGTTACACAACGTTCAAACCCCACAGTTCATCGCATGAACTTTGGTGCAATAATTCAAACAGAAACAGAATCTATTCAGGAATTCATCACCAGACTGAAGTCAGTAGCAGTGGACTGTGAATTTTCTTGTCCTCAATGCAAACACAACCTATCGTCACACCACGTTCGAGATCAATTCATCAGAGGTGTCCATAGCACAAGCCTCCAGACTGAATTGCTCGCCAAGGCCAACCAATTTAAGACTTTAGAAGATGTTATCAAACATTCAGAAGCCTTTGAAACCGCTGTAAGAGACCAATCAAAACTTCAGAAAACCGCAGAAGTATATGCGGCACAAACTTACAACAAACAAACACCAAACACCCGCGAATCGCAAAGGCCATGCGCAGGTTGTGGAAGTCTATCTCACGGATTTCCAGGTTCAAGGAATCGTTCAACAAAATGTCCTGCCTGGGGGAAAACTTGCACCAACTGTAAACAGCTCAATCACTTTGCTCGAGTTTGCCGACAGGTGAATCAGCCCCAGAAAAACCAACCACAAGCAGAAGCTAATGCCCTACTAGCTCATGTACGTTATAACAAAAAACGTCACTGCTTTACTACAGGACAACATGGAATGGATGAAATTCAAGCAACAGTACATCCATTTCCTCAGAATCGCAACTCGAAACCATGCACGGTACTAATATTCCCAGATAGTGGAGCAAACATTTGCTTAGCTGGCCCAAAGCATTTGCAGAGCATGCAAATCAAACAAAATCAGTTGCTTAAATGTCATAAGATAGTGACGGCAGTTGGAGGATCAACACTGACTTGCTTCGGCTGGCTGCCGGTCAAATTTGTAATTGGTGGACACTCTACCACACAACAAGTTTACATTTGTAACAAAGTGGATCGTATGTACTTCAGTCGCCAAGGCTGCATTGATACCAGAATCCTTTCTAAAGCATTTCCTTACCCTATGGAAATGGAAGCAAACGTGGCAAAAATTAGCACAGCAGACATCCCCACTAGTGAGAATTCATTGGGCCAATTACCAAAACGACCAAGAAATTTGCCATTCCCACCAATGGACACGAACGTCCCCCGACTGGAAAAGTACTTATTGGCGGAATTTGCAAACACTGCATTTAACAATGTCACACCATTTCCAAAAATGAATGCACCCCCAGCCCACATTCACCTAAAGTCTGATGCTCAACCATTCGCACATCATACTCCTATTCCAGTACCATACCACTGGAAAGAAGCAGTGAAATCCAGTCTAGACAGAGATGTAGAAAGGGGTATTATAGAACCTGTCCCTGTAGGGCAACCAGTTGAATGGTGCAGCAGAATGGTAACAATTGCAAAGAAGGATGGCACACCCAGACGTACTATAGACCTCCAGCACCTAAACTCCCAGTCATTGAGAGAAACTCATCATTGTCAGACACCATTTCAACTGGCATGTCAGATACCTCCTAAAACTAAAAAGACCGTACTGGATGCTGTAGATGGATATCACGCCATAGAACTGGATGAGGAAAGTCAGCATTTAACGACTTTCATAACTGAATGGGGAAGATACATGTACAAACGAATGCCTCAAGGATTCATTGCAGCTGGAGATGCATACACAAGACGTTATGATGATATTATAAACAATACACCTCGCAAAGTAAAATGCGTTGACGACACGCTACTATATGATACAAATATAGAAGAAGCCTTCTTCCACACTTGGGATTACCTAGCAACATGCGCAACAAATGGCATTGTACTGAATTCAAAGAAATTTAAATTTTGCAGAGACACAATCTCATTCGCAGGATACAACATAACACCAGATGGCATAACACCATCAGCAGAACTTCTCAAAGCAATTAGAGATTTCCCAGTCCCTAAAGACATCACTGGAGCCAGATCTTGGTTTGGTTTAGTTAATCAAGTTTCATGGGCTTATTCAATAAGTGAAATAATGTTACCTTTTCGTGAACTCATAAAGCCAAACTCAAAATTTTACTGGGATGAAGCTTTGGAAAAAATATTTGAAACATCAAAACAATTACTGTGTGAGACAGTTAAACAGGGCATACGTTCCTTTGACACAAAACGTGCAACTTGCCTCCAATGTGACTGGAGCAAAGATGGGATCGGATACGTTCTTCTTCAAAAATACTGTGATTGCTCGATCGATAAAGTTCCTATTTGCTGCAAAGATGGTTGGCATTTGGTTTATGCCAACTCCAGGTTCACCACGCCAACAGAAAGTCGATACTCACCCACTGAAGGAGAAGCATTAGCAGTATCCTGGGCCTTACAACACGCACGAATGTTTACCTTAGGTTGCCAAAACCTCATTGTGTCCACTGACCACAAACCCTTATTGGGAATCTTTAAAGATCGAGACCTGGATAGTATTAAAAATCCTCGAATACAAAACTTGAAAGAACACACCCTGCGATATAGATTCACAATGCAGCATTGCCCAGGGAAATGGCACAAAGCACCCGATGCTTTATCACGCAATCCCACAGCCTTGGAAATAACAGATACGAAAAATGCAGTGATGGACATAGCACGAAATGACCCATCATCTGATGAAGTAACAACAACAGAGCAGTGCGAAGCTCGTGTTCACGCAATTCAACAATCTGTCATCAACTCAATAAATGATGACGATGCGCTTGTGACCCTGGATCACATTAGAAGCCATGGAAAGTCTGACAAAAGCTACAACATACTCATCAAAACAATTGAGAATGGATTCCCTAACACAAGACATGGGACACCGCCTGAAATCCGGGATTATTGGGGTGTGAGAGATCGCCTATCAACTAAAGACAATGTAATACTAATGGACTCTCGCATAGTTATTCCCACTCCCCTTCGCAAGACCATACTGAGGTCACTACACTCTGCGCATCAAGGGATCACAGGCATGAAAGCAAGAGCAAACCAATCAGTCTATTGGCCGGGCATGAACGCCATGATCCGAAACTTTCGATTTGGATGCCTCACATGCACGAAATACGCTCCATCTCAAACTAAAGAGCCAATGATATCGAGCCCGGCGCCACAGTATCCCTTTCAACACATATGCGCCGACTACTTTGTACTGGGGAACCACTGCTACCTATCTGTTGTAGACAGATTCAGTGGTTGGATCAGTATTTTTCATTACCCACCACATCGATCAATCACTAAAGAGCTCATCAACTCATGTCGTGGGTTATTCACATCCTATGGAGCACCAGAAGAATTTGACTCAGACGGTGGACCTCAATTCACCTCATCCGAATTCCAGAACTTTTTAACTGATTGGGGAATAAAGCATCGAAAGTCCTCAGCATCTTACCCACAATCTAATGGACGGGCAGAGCTCGGAGTTAAAACTGCCAAGAGGATCATTCGTGATAGCACATCACCTGACGGTTCTCTGAATAATAATAAGGCAGCACAGGCAATCCTACAATACAGGAACACTCCTCTGCAAGACATTGATCTCAGCCCAGCTCAAATACTTCTGCATAGACAACTGCGGGATCACGTTCCTACAAATCCACAGCATTACCGTCCCCATCCACAATGGATTATATCTGCAGGGGAACGTGAGCAGAAACTAGCTAACCGCCATCACATCATTATCGACAAATATAACAACACATCGAGACAACTCCCTCCACTGTCAGTTGGGACAACAGTCGTTATACAATCACAAGTCCCAAACAAGCCACGACACTGGAACAGGACTGGTCGAATTGTAGAAATCCTACCTTACAGACAATACAAAATCAGAGTAGATGGCTCGGGAAGAGTGACTATACAAAACAGACGATTTATACGACCTTGCATCATCATTCAACCTCCGCCGATCATGCCATTCTCACCAACAATTCCCCCCAGCGGAGAGAGAGATGAAGACATTGGAAACTCTGGGAGTCATAATGCAGGAACTACTCAAGACACTCCGGTGGAAATACAACCAAGTCATCATGTGAGCCCATCGCTAACCAGCAGAGCTCCAAGATTGCCTAGGGCGCTTCAGAGGTTACAGCCCTACAACAAGCCAGGACGACTTGAGGAGAACTATAATGTTAACTGAACTGAACAAAACATTTCCTAATTTAAAAGACTCTGCGCCTCTGCCGGAGGGTGGAGATGAACATTACATTATATTTCATTGCATGTTTTAACTGTTTCGTTCTTGTTCTTTAGATTGTATTTTACTTAGATTGCTTAACTTGGTTGGCCTTGTACTATAGTTAATACTTCATGTGAATTGATTTAAATATTATCCTATCATATACAATTGATTTCTAATCTATTTAAAAATTTTCAATCCACTTTGTAATCTCAGAATCTATGTATATTGGCCCAGTGGTTCGAATTACGATATTTAATACGACCTTGTCTACCGATATAATTTAACTACATTGACTCTTTAAAAGTATATGGTTTTATGTTTGTTCACACATCTTATAGTATTTTACAAATAAGGGTTTTTCAATTTTGAACATCTTTCTCCAATCTTATTCAGCCACTGCAACCTTCCAGTTTAGCAAGTTATGTACCGGTAATACATAATTTGTTTCCCATTTCTTGAATCAGGAAAGTATTACTGGAAATGTTGAAACAGGGATAGTCGCAATAAAACAATCTATTTTTCAGAACACATCCAAAAATAATATTTTTGATTCAATCCAAATCGGGCCATGTTTTAACGAAGGATATACATAGAAAAGCATAATCAATGTGTTTGAATTTAGAAATGCTAAAAAGTTCACATATATGCTGGTTCTCTATTTTTTGTGAAAATGTAATTGGTCATATTATTTGATTTACTTCTAAACCGAAAAATTTGAATATTCAAAATTCCACTCATTTGGAACAAGACCAAACTAAAACAGATACATGGAGCTTCTAAGAAGTGGGTACTTTAATTAACCCCCTTTTTTTCAGCCCTAACCCTTAACTTATTTTCCAATGTTCTTACCATTAGAAATCGATAAGGTACGGTTATAAGCAAGAATACACATCAATAAATTAGTACTAAACCTTAATGTTCAATAAATGAATTAACATCAATAAATTAGTACTAAACCTTAATGTTCAATAAATGAATTAAATAGGGTGTGTACTGCAAACCAAATACATAATCTAATTGCGAAAAAGGCTATAAATATTTCAAAGCATTATACCATCCATTTAATTATAGTAAAAAAAAAAAATTTTAATTTACTATACAATTCACAAATTATGAATAAAGACAAAATTAGCTCTATTAATGGAACCGGCACACACAGTAATATACATACAAAATGAAACTAATTCAATTTGGAATGTCAATAAAGAGAAAGTTGCTATGCATTGCCAACCAAGTGAAAAACCAAAAGTTTAGAACGGCTTAAACCAAAAGTAGTCACTTCATTGAACTTCAGAATTTGAGAATAATGAAAACTATTAAAATAATGTTATCAACTATTATGCACGTACGAATACAAATTTTATGAATTTTCAAGGATTTCAACAAATTTTCTATTGAACAATAATATATCCGATATTCCATAAAATTCCAAAAAGTATTATCGTAGAATGTATTCAAATCAGTAAATTGTCTGAATCTGATGTTGATCCTTACAATATTCAAAATTTATCTCAATATATTATATACGAGGTTCATAGCAGATATAAACAAGACACCACTGATATCCTACCTTTTGATATCTGAAATCATCTCCCAGTATAACGAGTAATGTATCTGTTGCGAATAACTTTGATTTTTTACGATATTGGTCAAGTAACATTTTGGCACGTTCCGCCACATTATCTTTAGTAATTTTCTTTGGTTGAACACCCCATGGACAAGTTCTGCGCATTCCTGGAAGACGCCCAAAATCAAACTGTAAAAGAAGAGGAATGTTGTTCGAGATTCTGACTTGGCAGTCGTCGCATCGTGCTGAGAGTTAAGAATCAGCTTGTTATCTGATTACCCTATGAGGGTCCACAGGTCCCAATAATGCGGGGACTAATTATGTGTGCAGATATTGCTGATCTTCTTGCTGTCATAAGGTGGCCTAAGAAAACCAACATTGACAGCAAAACTCAGTCCTATGCAAGTCTTCTTAAATTATGTGTTGAAACCGATTATTGACTTTGGTTTCAGACGAAAATTTTGACTTTGCTCATCACCATTAAAAACTGGAAATATCAACTTTACTACCAATTCCGAAGTATTCGAAATTGAAACTCCTGCCCCTGATACGACTCCTTATGGATCAAGTATCTATAAAAATGTGCTAATCTCAGTCGCCACATACCATATTATAATGGCATACCACGTTAGCTCATTATGAATACAGATTACAGAAAAATTATGGACATTACGATTACGAGACGCATAAACATACATACAGATATATGTGGTATGGCCATGTATGTATGTATTACTTCACTGACCTGACAACAGATCTTAGGATCAGGACCACACGTGTGAGGAACATCGTAACTATAAAAAGGCATCATATGGCAGTTAATATCAGTGGAGCTTCCACCGTCCCACTGCTGTCTCCACCTGTTAAATACAAAATAACATACTAATCATAAAAAAAGGAACTCTGCCCCTCTGTGAGGCTTCTATACCAAGAGAAATTCAAATGCATAGTTTATATAGAAAAGAGACATAATTATATAAGGCAATGCTTTTAATCACAAATTGACTTGATTAGCATCATGCCTCTCATGCAGCCGCCCCAAAATTTAATCAAACCCGCTGTTTATATAAGCACCATATACAGAGCCATATAAGTTAGCCATATATATACAGAAAAGGTCTTTCTTTCAAATGACGATTATTAAGGCCATATAAATTCATCCGTATTCCTAACTTTTGATATATGCCTCTTTATTAAAAATTTCCCCACACTATTCAGAATTCAAGTAGATTCACATCCAAAATGAAAAAAATGTGTGATTCACTATGAACACCATAACCAATAATAACATTTCAAATAATAATTCAACAAACCTAAATTCAAGTTTTTTCTGTTCAGCGAAATTTCTTTTCACAATATAGTGAACTCTTTGTATAAGCATATTTGTTAGACCCATTCTTTTCAATAAAAATGCCATCGTTGGGGTGTGGCCAAAAGGATCAATGGCCCACCCAGTCCTAGGAATGACTCCAAATGTTCTAGCCAGCCATTCATGTCCTGAAAATAATTTTTCGAACTTATTATTATGTTAAATATATTTCCATTCTTCTTGTGATAATGATTTTAATAACAACTTGGTTTTATTTATTGATAAACGTAATCCTTTTAGGAAATATCAAGAGTGTTAAGCCAAAACCAAATAATCTACTCAGATTATATTAGTTACAGTATTGGTTAATAATTTTGAACATGAAAATCGATTTGAAATTAATCATACTCAATATTATAACTTCTTGACTGAGAGTTTTATTTAAAATATTATCATTGCATAAATTTGACATCCATATACAGATAAAAAATACTAAATTCAAATTGACGCTACATAAATAGAAAATTAAACATACTGTATTTACCAAATTCATTTCTATGTCTAAGCTTCTCCAACGGCTAAATTCTGAATTTATTCAATATTTAAAAATAATATTTCAATGTGGTTGCATAATCTAGTGAACTGTTCGACTTTGCAAATCACATTTTGATTTGAATAATCAAATCATGTCTAAATGCGGAAACTTAGTAACTACTTCAAATTTTAAATCTCATTTACAAAATATCCGAGTTTTTAATGAGGAATTGGGCAAATTTCAAATCAATTGTAGGCTATTCTATTACTTTGATACAAATGATAAGAATCATGCCAAAGTATAACATGTTCACGGTTGGCACTATTCCACAGAGCTATGGTAAGAAAAAGCTCATTTCTCACTGGCATGTTGCATCATGGCCCACACATACAGGGTTCAGTGTTATTACAATAAAATAATAACAGCAGCAAAACAAATACAGACTATTTCACCAGGAAATAAGTCATAAAGGATGTATGAATACAAAATTAATACATGATATATTTTCAAGGATAGTTCTGTATGGATAATACAGATCAAAGCATCACAGTGCAGAAAGATAAGTAAAATTAGCTAAAACTTCTGCTTATTTAAAAAAAATCAGTTTCTTTATATGGTGCAGGGGTGGCATGGGGGTGGGCCAATTATGGATAATACATTTGGCTACTGGCCCAAAACTCAATATGATACTATGAATAAATAAATAATAAGTATTGAAATTGATGTACCGGACAGAAGGAAAGAACATGTGTTGCCGTATTCACGGCCGCACGAAATAATTCATTGAATGTAGCTCTCTAAAAACGTAATTTGCAGGTCTAAATGATGATATATCAGGCGCTAGTCTTGGCAAGGTCGCTGGAATTTTAGAATGATATAAATAATTCGAATAAGAGAGTTTTGAGGTACTGATGTGGATCATGGACCTTTCCCCGAGCATCGACTTCCTTGTTTACTTCGTAACATTGGCCAATCAGCAAGATGCAAAAAGTGACGTAACAATGCTCTCTTTCCGCATCCGCTCAGACACTTTTCCCACTCAGACAGATTTTCAAGCGTGGTCGTAAACATTACCTCATTTTCGCGTTTTTGAACTCTATTCGTTAGTTTTCTGATGTGTTTCAGAAACTCAAATATAAATCAGATAATTCAATGATCCCTCTGTCTTCCTAGAAGTTTTGATTTAATTGCAGTAATAAAAATTAGTAAAGAAATAGCTGTGATAGACTAGGCTAAAATTCTTTACCGGTACTTTAAAAAAACAGATTGTTGTATGCGATGAATCATAATGATCGTTTGAAACAAGTACCCCATTTTACAGGCGCCAACTCGCAAAAGCACTCTTAAAATAGCCCCGAAAATATTTCAATGGTAAAGTATAGTTAACCTTTTCCCGGGGTCAAAGGTCGGGGAAAGGTCCATTCTGCACAATATTATAATCGGGCGCAGATAATACATGGAGTAGGCTATTATGGTTTTTTTCTGACGATTCGTTATTATAGGAAATTTATAACCATAAAAACTATAGTCGTGATTTCAGCAGGATGAAGCGCACCGAAGAAAAATCTTTGGTGGGTCAGATCCGGTACGCCGGCCGGTATTTAGAGTAGAGTTTTTCGCCTTCGCTTTCAAAAAGGCTTGAAAAAATTACATTTAATTTTATATTATTTATAAAATTGTTGTACATTTACCGCAAAATGTGTCGATAAAAATAATTGGATCTTTGATACATTTAGAAATTATTATATCTGTTGGCTCAATCACTGTACAGTTTTTATTACCCATAGATCAATTAAGGGATACTTATATTTGCTCAGACCAATTACAGCAAGCTCTCTTCCAAAATCAGTGGGAATGTCTGTGTTGATATCTCATGTTATCTATACGTTTTACTCTTACTTACAATAAAACCATTTTATCAAACAATAAAAGTTGCAACAAAATGGGGATTTATTTAGCGGTTTTTTCAACCAACCATATTGCAGTAATGTAAATTATTCTGTCAATGGATTACGGTAAATATTTGATCTTGAGTGGCTTGTTCGCCTGTGGTTATCCTTACATGTCAGCAAATATCTTTAATATTAAACACATTTTTGTGGCCGTGGGTGACATGTTCTGATAACTACCAGAAGCTACTTGGTCCAGAATAATAACAAGGAATAGCATAGCTCCAGAGGTGTTGAGGTAGCCAAAATCACTCCTGTACAGGGGTAGGCAATTACTTTCAATTTGAATCTCAACTATCAAGTGGAACAATGATTAATGGGACCGATGTAGCCTGCTGACTGCGTACAAAAGCTTGATCAGATCGGGCTCGGATCTGCCTGTGCTGATTCCTTGGACCGCTCGTAGATTTGAATACGTTAGAGGAGATCTTTTCGCTCTGCTTACAATTCATTGTCTTAGATTCTTAATTAACAGACACTAGCAAGATATTTAACGAACAGGTTTTAATAGACATGTTTAAATCAACTTTAAAAGAAAAAGAAAAAGCAAACACTTCGTATTTGTAGAGATGACCAAAACCCAATAATCCACTAAATTTAAAAAAGAACAAATATAAGACAATGTGTATTGAATGAGTTCGAATTTCTAAATGCAGAAAAAATGGCAAACATATTGTGATTGGAATATTTTTCTATTATTTACTGTTTTCAGGAATTAATGAAAGCCTTTTTGGTGACTGTGAGTGACTTTAATTAAATGTTGCAAATGTATGTATGAACAATACCCCCATCAAAACAATGCGTGCGCCTTATGGTCCGTAATATACAGTACTCCATTTGTTTTCCATATAGTTGTGTAGTGTGTGTGGTTTTTTTGAAAAGATATTGTATGGGATAAAGTACACATACTCTTCGTCAACTATGGGATCTCTAGAACTCAAATTAACTAATATTATGGCATATATTATATGGGCTGTGGCAGACAGGAAAGTAAAAATGAATTTACATTTAGTACATATTCAGTAATCGATTCTTAATGCAGGCTTTCTTATAATTCATATAGCAAATCTTTGAAATTTGAATACCTTTTCTATACAATATACATATAAAAAAAATTCCAATGGGCCAAGTAAAAAAATAAAGTTGATGAATCATTGAAGTGTGAAATGAAGCAGAATCAATCATGAATAATTAATTTTTAATCATTAAATAATTTATTAGAATAATTAGGTGAAATGAAAAACAGTAGTTTTAACAAATTTCAAAAATAAATATTAATTAGAAAAAATATTTTCATGAATATTAATGAGGATGAAGTCATCAATGGTGGACTTAATTAATCAACAAAATTATTATTCATGAGATGAATAAATTGAACCATTTTATAATTGAAAATTTCTCCTAAAATTTTAAATGAAGTCTAAAATCAAACACAGGGTTACTCAAAAAACGGGAACCAGGTCAGTTAAAAAACATTCTACACAATCTTGAGAGAACACAACTTTTGTGCAAAGCATTCCAGATTTCTGAAACTTTTGGGTACAATCATACACAAACAGAAGTTATTAGGGAGTTTTAATAAATTATCTTCCTCATAGAAGTATCCAGAAGATTTCTCTTTCTGATTGGGTTCTGTGAAGCTTTGTTATAAAACTGGTATTTTGGTTCATATTAATCCTAGGATTTTCTGGGCCATCAAGTCACAAATGTCAAAGCAATAAGATCTAAAAAGTAGCAAAATTAATCTTACTATGAAAAGTGGATTAAATTAAAAGTTTGAATAATTTATGAGTTCAATTTCAATATCTACTGTTAGAATGATAATAGATCCTTAGAATATAATTGAAATTAGAGATCTAAACTATACTTTCCATTACTTGTTTGAAAAAGTCATTATATACCTTGATCAATTTTACAAAAGAAATTGAAACTAAACTTCATTATTGGAAATATAGGTACAATCTTCGAATTAAATAGACTTTTTATTGAAACACTAATAAAGAGAAATTCTTAAAATTTAACTTAATTGGTGATTAGAATCAAATTCAATACTGCAACCCAATGGTTCTCGAATATTGTGTAATAAAATATCAATCCAATTTCACTTAATATAAGATGATCAAATCTGGCATTCAGCCATGTTATGATTGTGCACAATGCACAAAACAGCTCAATATTCACATTGTTTAAATGTGTGTACTTCACAAAACTTCAAACATGAATGAAATGAAACTTTTTTTCCAATGCATCATGATTTGAATTTTAGAAAATCGTGAACCTAAAAAGTTTGTTGTAATCATTATTGACTTTTTGTTTCAGCTTTTACTTAATAACATATTTATCTGTGATAGCGTTAATCATTTATGAATGGTGCATCAATACATCTTATCAACACAAGATTTAACTTCTTATTATAACATAAATTGACTTCATAAATATTTTGATAACATGAATATAACATAAAAAACTGGTGAAAGATCAAATTTCGGATCTCGCGAATAGTGAGACAACGATAAAAAAGCTGACACCTATGTTCCCTCTAGCAATTTTCGTATGAATAAACTTTCAGCAGTGGATAAGTAGTTTACAGCATGGACATCCAAATTTGATATATTCAATAAAGTAAATTCTTGAACGAATAGAACCAATTGAAAAAATTTGTCGCTTCGAGCCCGTAATATCTGATGGTTAGAAGAAGAAGACATATCATTTAGATACTCTTAAAATTGGTTATATATTTCGTATATTAAATTCTTGATTTCAAAAACTTTTTATTCTAAAACTTGTTTTTTTAATCATTTGACATCTGATGGCCAGGCAAGAAATTGACTTCCTTGTGTATATTATTTCAATCACTTAAAATTGGTTCTATTCCATATAAAGAATTCTTGATGTTCTTGAAAATAATTTAAAATATTTTCATTTGAACTTTGTCGCATTTGACATCTGATGGCCAGCCAAATTGACTTCATTCTACATTATGCCACTATGAAAAATAGAAAATCAATCAAAACTATCCTGCATTACAAAATTAAATTTCTATGAATTAACAATTATTTTAGAAAGTTTATCTGTTGAAAATATTTAAATGTAGAATTCCTTATTCAAAAAAATTTCAGAATGTACTTAAAATGGTGAAATCTTCACCTAAACTGGGCTCTACCAATAAGTGCTCAGTGGCTTACTGGCTTATGACTTAGCCCTTTTATACTCATATAGCCTGCCCTGCATTCCAAACCAACTTCTCCAACGGTCAATAAAAAAAAACTGAGTAATAGATTTACCGTTAATGGGGAAGAAAATAGTAATGCATAGGCCTAATTAGTTAGCATAATAGTTGTGAATTACTGAAATACACAAAAACCAAATACCTTCTATCATTTGATCAATCATTGCAAAATAATGAGTATTAGCTTCGTCATTCATAACCCATCCTCCTGTGACAATTTCTAATTGTCCGCTCTTTATCAATTCTTTTAATTTTTGTTTTCGGCCATCATCCGCGATATCGTACCACATTGAAAGATACGACATTTCGGCCCAAATAAATCGTCTAGAATATATTTAAACATTCGAAAATAAGACCATGTTCACGAAACTAGTGAAGTAACAGAGCAATGCTCTAATAGATGGACATGGAAATCATTTAGAAAAAAAAGTGTTCTACAATAAATAAAACAACTAAACTTAGAGTGGCATAGCAGGTGACATAGGCTTGCGAGAAATAAAGTACCAAAACCTAGGTACCATGCGCTCATGGATTTAATATATATAAGCATGCATAGTCTAACCTAGCTCTTGTTAAACAAAATTGATTCCTAAGGAATATATACATACAACTAATTCTTACGAAAATTAAAAATTTAATAATCGCATTAGATCAAGTTGCTGACAATCGAGGAATCTATTGGCAAAATTTGAAACAATCATACCTTCTTTTATCCAAGCCCAAATAATCAACAATATTATCCAGAATATGTCTCGTTTCGCTACGAAAATAATCTTCATATGTTTTCAGCCATCCAGGATCATTATGAGAGTGAGGGACCAGATGTACTGAAAGAGAAACAAGGCTTGAAAATGTCATAAACATGTACAACCGAACTTTTCAAATTTTTGATATAAAATTACAAATAATAAATGACAGGATTGAAAAGAAATAGTAACCACTTGACAATATATTTAGGATTAATTTAACCGTTGGATGACTTGCACACTTGCATCACTTCTGCGAGGTAGCAATAAAAAATCAGCGGATACCGGTATTCTTAATTTTTGGAAATAATTAACAAACGCATGATTTTAAATTCACTGAACATCTTACTTTTTAATTTCTTTCCTTCCCATTCAGCATCATTAGTTTGAATGTCAAAACCTTGTTTCCAGACTCCACCATTAACATCCTTCCAGTTAAAACCACCATACTCATCGTTCATTTCAATATCACAATTTGCACCAAAGTAATTCAAGTCTTGACAAGCAGGAAACTGCTCTGACGAGAAATTGAATCCAACACTAAAAACATTTGAATAATATTGTCATTAATTTTTAGGAGTATTAAAAAAGAAAGAGTCTCTTTCTGTTATACGCCGTTCATTCATACCCTTCGCCCCGAACAAGACACTGTACAAGCAACTACTGAGATTCGGTACTCCCGAAGTATGTGAACTATGATGGCAGACACCGGAACACAGTGTGTGTACCAGGTTAGGGTTAGTCCATAATTTTATTTCAATTTCCTTATTTTAGTTTTATTACGAGTTCGGGGACTAGCCAAGTGACTCCTGTAGTATTTTCACCTAAAATTATGGCTCAACCCTAACCTGTACACATAGTACATTCTGGTGTCCGTCATCTTGGTCCACATACTTCGGGAGTACCTGACTTCCAATGATGACTATTATTTTCGGGAGGCATTAACAATGTATATGAAAGTACCACATTCTTTTCAGTTTATTATTACCTACCTAGTTTAATACACTCTGGGTGAAGAGGCAGATAGTGGATTTGAACCTGATACATATAGCATTCGATGCCGACACCATTAAGTCTAAATATCTTAAACCGCCAGGCTATCGCGTTCATGATTATAAGGCCTACCTAGTAGATATTGAAAATGGCCCACTTATCTTTTATATAGACAGAGGACTGATTTTTATGACGACCACTTAGCTCCTAGAGCTGAAGTAAATGATCATAATAAAATATATTAAAGAACTATTTCTATAAAGCTATTTTTCAGTCTTATTATAATATGGGCAACTTGAATTCATGACAACTCGTTCATGACAAGCTTCCAAGATTGTGCCTATGAAAAAAGAATCAAGAAATAAGATGTCTAAGAAGCAGTTATGTTAACAAACATTAAAAATCAGTATAAAAAAACATATTTTTAAAGCAGTAAAACACATACCCAGGAAAATGTAAGGAAGGATTTCTTTTCCCATCCTCTTTTTGTAAAATATTTTCCACCAGCTCTTTGCGATTGGGTACTTTTGCATTGGCTACTCGTGATAACTCAACCAAATCATCCAGTCCACTCTGCAGCTGGATAACAAGAATATAAAATCAAGGAAATTCATTTTAAAATTCTGAAAAAAAACTCCTATAAAACACAAAAGGATTTAATGTATCAGGTCTATTAGAATAATTGCTGTTCTGAGCCTTGTTTGGAGAAATCATAAAACAGGAGACAACCATTTTGAAGGGTCGAACATTAGAAATATCTACTGAACCCAAGCCAAATACTTCAGGCTGAGCAAAACGATTACTTTGATAGGACAAAAACATCTATATATTTTTAAATATTATTTGCATAAGAATATCACGCAATAGAACTTCAGTGTTCGTTCATAACTTAGCTCAGATATCAAAATTCTTTATTCTGAGCAAGTGCGCATTACTTTGATTTAAGAAAATAGCCTTAAAAAACGTGTAATTACCTTAACCATTGTTCTTTTGTTTTCCTTCAATTCGTTTTCCAAGTTAATGAATCTAGCATTCAATTCCGATAATGATTCCTGATCATCTCGTGCAACTATTTCCTGGCCTTGTTGTCTGTCCAACTGTTTCAACATTACAACGAGACTTCCAAAAAAGAAAGCTATGCCGCAAAGAAAAACTACATTGCGTCTAACCATGTTAATGATTGGTATGTCAGTATGTAGGGTCTAGGGAAAATCTGTGGTCAAATAAAAAACAAGAATGACATTTTTCTCTTTCCATAAAATTCCAACTTTAATTCATAGTTTTCATTCGATCCAATAGGTAATCATAGGCTCGCTGCAGTGTTATCTGATAGTATCTGTATAGTTCAGTACCGGGTAGTTCACCTTCTTCAAACCAAACGAGATAGGCTTAGACAGATATTTACAACTCCAACTCAAAAAATCGGCTTTGACTTCAAGTTTATGAGTATAAGTTTATTTCGACTCCATAATCAGCATAACAATAAAATGATTGGTAAAAAAAATAAATAAAAACTGATTATGAAATCAGAAGAGCAAACAAAACCTTAGATAAGGTTTAAGACGTACAGAATGTAGGCAAGATATAAGGTTTTGCCAAGAAGAAGTGGTACGTGTTCACTCACCTAAAATGATAGAAATATTTTACACATGCTCACACGCACCCATTTTATAAATGGGAGTGAACAGTAAAAGATTAAAGCTAAATAAAAAGTTAAATATCGACTCCAAACTCCATGAAAATCAAATGTTGGTAAAGTCTTCAGCATATGCAGGCCTTCTTTTGGTCTGTACTAACTAACCAGCTAACTGAGTCAGTCAGTTTAAAACTGACTAGTCCTAAATTAGAAAATTTTGTAGTTCCTATGGTTACTTTTTAGGTCTTTTATTACCAATGAATGTCTGAAATTCCAACTGTCTGACTGTACCAGTATGGTCCCAACAAGTTCGGAAGTTTGAAAATAGAACGAAACTGAATCTTCCTGTCTTCAGGCTGTCAGATATCTGGATATGTGCAGTATACAGAAAAGGGGGGTACGGTATACATATAGGAGTTAGACTACATATAGATAGGCTAGGAACGACTTATGGCTGAACTATCGCACTCCCTCTGCAAAACTGCATAATACAGTAATATGATCACAGAGTTGTTGTAAAGCTCATACGGTAGTCACACTCACACAGCTAACATTATTCAGTTATTCGACAAATCGTTACCGCTTTGCCACGCGATGCGCCGCCGTTGAATGCCGATTTTTCTATAGCCCCCGAGCTGTCAAGCAACTTCACTGCACTGATGTGATAATAGACTCGCTCAATACGTATATGCATGCTATGTTTACAACAAAACGAGGACCGTGGGCGTGTGTCATCACACTCAGTCTCTGCAAAAGATCGTTTGATACGCGTCTATATAAGTTTCTCACAGCAGTTAATTTAAACTATCTCTCGAGCATTTTCTCCCCAATAGCCTGGTCTGTACTTTTCCAAGTCCCCAAATGCAAAATTTTCAAAACAAACAAGTCTTTCAAGAGGCCGCGAAACCAATGTATATATGCTCATTGGCAAAACTAAACAAAAATGTACTCCTCTTTTTTTCGACCCTTTTTTGTACCAGTCAAGATGCCTTTACCACTCGGTTGTTGCAGATATCGTTCTCCCAACGACAAAATAAGCACTCAATCCCAAGCTGAGCTTTGATAAATCCCCTCAAGTTATAGTCCTTCATACTACAGCTAAATCCTTAGTTATCCGGACATAACAACCTCAGGTTCAAGACCTACGAATAGCGATTTTCCACATCCAAGAAGTTTGAACCCAAATCACTCACTGAACTGCCATACCACAACAAGAGCAACAGGGATTTTGAAATTTTACTAAAAATATACAAATCTACGAAAGGCAAGTGAATTGAAATATATTTGTATCATGCAGAAAAGCGCTTGAGCAAACCGAACCAAAAGCACACAATCTGGAAAATTTTTTACCAGCCACAGAACATCACATAGTTGGTGGAAGTCAATCTTGCTTAACACGGTCCTCTTCAGTCGAAATGTACTGCAAAAAACATTAAAATCGGCCCAGTTTTGCCAACAAAAGAATAATTGTCAACCCTGAACACATTAACTTAAAAGATCATCTTTTAATGTCAGTAGGGTAGTGCTAGTGAAAACTATTTAGCTCACGAGCAACAAATTCAACATTTTAACATATTCCCGAAATTCTCTGGCTTCAAATGTAGTTTATAATTAGCAGGAATCCTGCTTTTGACTTTAAGTTGAATGCTGTTATTCAAATAAGTCCTTCCCAGTCCCCAACTGCATTACATGAACTACTAGAATATAAACACTTTGCAAAAGAGATCAAAGCATCCAACAATTTCTTCCATTGTCGTTTCTTTATGTGCGACATTCTCAAAACTCTTCAAATTCATTTCCTTCTATTTCTCTTTTTCTTGTTTATCTCCCCATGTCAAATATTCTGGAGTAGCCGCAGCTTCGTATTCTTCCACTAATTGTTGAACTACTTCTCTAGAATTGTCTAATTCATCTAGATTGTCTTTAAACATTTCTTCCTAAAAAGAAAATGATTTAAATGAAATACTAGAATGTAGGTCCCTACTTTTCCTATGCCAATATGACAAGTTGGAGATAAATAATATAAAGAATTGTTCTGCCTATGTCTGCATCTTGTGTTTTACAGGCACTCTACACATTTGTTTTAAATAAGATCTTTATAAGCAACCACCGATATATATGGATATTGTTTTCAAAGGACCAACGCCGCAATCTTACCAGTCCTGGATTTGCTGACTAATTTTAATGTTCCTGTGCCCAGATCCAACAGTTTAACACTGAGTGGTCAGGCTCAAGAAGCAAGTTTTACAAGTATACTCAACAATTTTCGTTAATTCAAAATGTTTAAAATCTATACACGATTTACCTTTCTAAATTGCTCCAAGAATGCTTCTCTTTTTCGAAGTTTGTCGAATTGTCTTGCAGCACGAGCAAATAACTGGCTGATACTCGTATGATTTGCCAACATTAATCCACTAACACGATGTGCAGATGACACATAGGGTGATTTTCGAGAAAGTGCAACCTGGAAAAACACAATATTCACTCGAGGTTTGTACGCTTTTTTTTGTTAGGACAAAAAGTTTGTTGCTGTCTGAGGTTTACATAATGCATTGTTTTTTGTCTTCAACAATGGCTTCCAAGTTATCAGTGATTGAAATGTGTTTTAGGAAACTCTGATTCCTATTTGTGTTTTCTAGCAACAAACGGCATGTCCATATATTTGAGCATTGATCTAATATTATTGTATATTGTTCAGCAATGTTATATCGAAAACATCCTGCTCCAAAAGAATATTCATTGACGTATAATACCAAATCAATTGCATGAAAAATATTATTTTGAAGTGCGAATTTTGCTCTATATAGCTTGAATCCCGATTGCCTGAGAAATGAGCCAGAGAATCTGCAACTTATACAAGAATTCAAACATCTGAAGATAATAACAATAACCGGTAGCTGAAATGCTTCCATTTTTGTTGTTATATATCACTCGGATAAGAATTTTTGTGAATCATATGCCATATTTTACAAACTCTAAGGCTCACCTGGTTAAAAGTGGGTTTTTATTCATACATAAGGCACACCAGGCTATGTGATGCAACCGGTACTATTACTGGTTTTGACTGTAGGCAGGCACCGGCTTACAATCAATATTTGAGAAAAAAGTACTCAAAGCACGCCTTATGGTCTTAAAAAATATGGTACATGCAAGATATTGAAATCCTTCGGATATAAAACACCACAGTGATAATAGTTTTTGTTCTCTCAAATGATATGATATATGAAAATGATGAAAAATTCAATCAGATTGCTTTACTTGAATGCTAGCTGGCCCCCATGGAATGAAAGTGGCAAGTTTCCTCTCCCTTATCCTCTGAAGACTTTTGTGAACTTGTGTTGGATCTATTTCACCTTGAATAATGTTTAGAATTGAAATATAACAGTGGTGTAGATCTCGTTCTCTTCCAGCATATACCATCATGTTTTTGGGTTGAAGAAGACGTCTCATGACATCCAGAACTGTTGTTTTACGGACAGATGTCGTGGATTGGTCGCTTGTAAGGGGCGTGTATCCAGTCATCAGAAAGTGTAACCTGCAAAGGCATACTGCAAATGATAAATCATACCACATAGGAAAGGGGGGAAAATGAGAAGAAAGAGCAAAGTTACAAAAACAATAGAGCAATGCTCGAATACATGGACACAATAGTCGTGCATCTGTACAAGGAAAATGAGGGTTATCTGAGCACCAAACTTGCTGAAAAGATCAGTGAAAATAGCAAGGCAAACAATTGTGACGAAACAATATACTTTTGGGTGAGCGAAAACGTACTACTTCTTTTATCAATACCTTTCCATATAAAATCTGTATGCTTCAAACCTTACTTGAGGTTTTGTTTGCTCTCCCTATTCTACTATAATCAGTTTTATTTATTTTGTTTTTATCAATTATTTTATTGTCTATTATTATGCTGGTTGTGGAGTCAAAATAAACTTTTACTTATGCCAACGAAATGTTACAATATTTCACGAAAAGTGTTGCCATGCACATAAAAAAGGAGCAGCAAAATTTTGGGTAAAATATAATTTCCACGAGACTAACAAAATTAAGTAATTATATTCTAGTGAATTATCTATAAATTATTTGAAATCAATTGGTCGAGTAATTGATGAAAAAACTGTGTTTTTTTTCACAACAAAACAAACTACCGTAATGGTCGACTTTGTACATAAAATGATTACACCATAAGTCACTCTTACCTGGGTGTAGGAATGAGAGAGGCAGTTAAGCCAATCAAATCATTATTCATGTATCCTGGATATCGTAGTGTAGCTGTGCTCGCTGACATGATTGTTGACACAAGTTGATTTATGTGTTGAAATGATGGATTCTGAATATGTAGTCGATCAACTGCAATATTATTCAATGCAGTGTTGTCCAGCACTACAGTCACATCAGCATGAAGAGTGAGTCTGAAATGATAAGGTTTGGCATGAGGTGACTCCAACTATAATCAGCTTGATGATATCTTTTGATGAATATTTTTCTATCCAAAGTATATAACTTCTGATGGCTAATTCAGTATCCAATTTGGCAACCCTCATAAAATTATAAATATGGCGTGGCAAAAAAGTGCATATATATAACTTCTCAGAGTGAAAATTCAGAGTCCACCACACTGCATGCACAAGGCGATAATTATGGGCAAAAGGATTCATAGTGTCCTCACTACCGTAGGGTACTTCACGGACCACTGACGGAATACAACTTCCCCCGCCATCAAGTCCATGCATCTGAAAAGAATAACTGCTTAAATATACCTGTACCCATCGTGTACTGGTATAGTAACCAATCTAAATGACTACAGATAAAATGATAAGGCAGTTCCATCTCTCTCTTGGAATAAAGATGAAAATCTGATCTCAAATGGCAAAAAATTCGAAATTAGGGCCAAAAATCGTTTTTCATTAAATAAGAGTAGAACTACCTCTTCAATGTTAGCAGAGTATTGTAAGGTTGTACAACAACATCTGATATTTCATCCTGGTTAGGAAAGACACTGTAGGTTTGTATTAATTTCTTTGGATATCGGTCACTCAGTCTCTCCAAGACATAAGATCCGAGACCAGATCCTGTCCCACCAGCAGTAGAATGACAAAGCATAAAACCTGAATTAAAATATATTATGATGAGTAAATAAAAACAGAACTCGCTTATATAAGGATGATTTTCTTTCAAAATTTATGTATTCTAAATTAAACCAAACAACAAAATCCTGATTAAGAATTTCACTTTGAAGAGCTGAGCATCAGTAATTTTTTAAAATTTTTGAACATCACGAATCATAAGATTTCATTTCACAACAATTTTGATAAATGTAAGTTTCTCTCTGGTAAAATGAAAGCTGAGAATCGGGACGTGACTTGTAAATTTGTAATTGGTTGTAAATCAGTACGAGGAAAAATATTTCAGAATAATAAATTTTGAAATATAACATCTGACATAATCATATAATTTGACACATAAAAAATGAAATGTCAAATAGAATGAAGATGTTTTTTATATAGACGTATTCCCTGACTACTATATACCATATTGAACTATTCATCAAATACATAGTACAACCAAATAAATTAAGGTTATGGTGACAAGATCGAATTTATGGTTTAACTGTATTATATATAAGAAATATAAAGCATAAAACCTTCAAGATTATCTGATCCGTCTGCTTCTCTGTCAATAATGTCAAATATTTCTTCATGTATACTTGCAGCTTGTTGATATCCTACGGCCCAATTATTTCCTGCACCACCACCATGCTCTGAGAGATAGACATTCTCTGGATTATACAGATTCGCGTATTCAGAGTTCTTGATTGAATTTACAACTCTCGGTTCAAGGTCAATAAGAACCGCTCTGCAAATGAATATAAAATATCAATATAAATTATCCAAATACATCTTTTAATATAAGACAAGTTTTTATCCCTGGGGGAATGTTTGTAAGATCTAAATATCTTGAACAAGGTACTAAAAATGACCATTGGACGCTTCACCGAAAATAAACCATACCAAACATATTAAAAATTGTGCACTGTGAGTGACCCGTCTAAAGAAAGTGGTGAAAATAGAAGAAAAATACTGGAAATATGGGTAATGCACAAAGTGTCTTAATGCTACAAAATTACCGTGGAATATAGTGTTCATCATCTGCTTGATAAAAGAAAACATCTTTGCGATCCGTGCCATCTGTTGCAAAATCTTGAAGTATTCCATCTGGTCTTATACCATGTTCTCCGCAAAGTTGCTTCCAAAATTCAAAACCAACTTGATTACCACACTGTCCGAGTTGCAGTGTTATAATTTCCCGTGGCATGGTGTGATTTGAAATAGTTCGTTATGAAAAAAACTAGAAATAAATCAATGTTTTAATTGTTATTACTGTAGACTACTGTATTAGTACTATCATCCTATGTATTTTTACATTAGTCTATCTTCTGATCTTTTTTTTTTTTTTTTTAATATGTGTTGATATATACATATATACAATACATACATACATTATACATACAATAAATATATACAATAAGGTTCATCACATTACACGTCATAATCCAATATGATCCCCATCATTATTATTGTATGTTCCATTCAGCATTAGTATCATCCAATTTTTTCAAATACATATCATTAATATAATCAAATATTTAGGTTATTAACAATAGTTACATAAAAACAAAAATGACAATTAGCAAATGAATAATTCACACTATTGGTATTAGATTAGTTTAAAACAATATTTCTTACATCTATCAAAAACATTGGCATAATATATTAACATATTTGTTATCATTCCTATGCCTTTCTAAATTAAGCCTGTGTTTTAACCCCCTTTTAATTTTTTCTTTCACCCTTGTTACATCTGGAGTAACTCCTTGAAACTTCTGATCTTATATTAATCAAACAAACAAAAAAACTAGCCTATAGTGCTGCGTACCGAATCGAAATAAACTTAGAAATAGACTAGGCCTACCCGTACGGTACCGCTACAGACAATACGGTATGACGGTACAAACAGACCTATGCGTCAGACAGTCAGATGCTGCATATGCATCTGCAACACTACAGTAGTTAGCTGACTATCGGTATCATTCTCATTTAACCCACAAGTGAAATGACTGGCATAAATACGAAAATGCTATTTCCAAGCGATCAAACCTTGACAGTTTGGGCTACAAAAACAATGACTAATGCAACAGTCTCTTGAACACGGCGGTAGATATTTTCCTTACCTTTGACCCTAGTAATTAGTTGAACGGGTTGAAATATTTGCCTAACTAAGCCCTTGTTTTTCGTATAAGTATAAGTTTATTTTGACTCCATAATCAGCATAACATTGAAATGATTAATAAGGACAAATGAATAAAAACTGATTATAAAATCAGAAGAGCAATCTTGTGTATTTCCGGGTTCTTTTATCCTTGCAGCCAGGACATCTTTACCTGTATACTTTGGCACCGACAGACATTTGCCTCTAGTGCAGCGGTAGGCCTACTCAACCAGTAGACCATGCCCAACGACTAACATACCCCCACTTCCGAACCACAGAAACATTTTTAGGTGGGTCACAAACCTTTTAAACACTGCTCTGGAGTTAAATTTTGAGTGAAGTAGCAATTAAGGATGCTGACGTTTTTGCTCCTGATTAAAGGTGAAGTGTCTATCTTTACGACAAGATTTTGATTTTTCGTAGTGTTTCCATTGCATAAGTGAGTAAATGGGTCGCAGATATTTTTTGCAACTAAGATCAATATTTTGGGGCAGGTTCGATCCATTTTTACAGCCAATTCTGGTAATGATCTTATCCCCTGAGCCGGATCGTGGCCTTTGAAAGTTCTAAGCACTTAATACCGTGGAGCGCAGTGAATTTCATTATTCGTTACTGATTGAAGGCCAAACTATGATTAATTTATATTTATAAGAACTGAAAACCAACGAATATAGAGTTCAAAAATGCGAAAACGCGGTAATGTTTACGACCACGCCTAAAAATCTGTCTGTTTGTTGTGCATAACAATATAAAAAATGCGCATGAGGAAAATCTTCTTTTATATAAACTTGAACACCATGTTTCGACCCACTCATGACTGCCGCGCCGTCATAAGTTTGAGCTATCAATTTTGACTTCGCGTTGTAAGGCTGTAACACTTCTTTCAGTACAGCCGATATTCCGCAAGCCGTGCGATCAACGATTGGTACAAAGCTGTGAAATCTCTCGGTAGGTGTACCATCTTTCACAAACCGAAAAATCACAGCCAGTTGGGAAACGCACGTGATGTCAGTTGTCTCGTCAGACTGAATCGAAAGGAACTGGCAAATCTCAATTTCCAGAGCCAAATGTTGTAAATAAATTTTATACATTGAGTCGAGCAAATCATTTTGGATATCCTTAGATGTCCCTTTCGAAACAGTTGCGGCACCAAGATGATCTCTCAATACTGTATCTAGGGATGCGGTGTATTCCACCATATCCAAAAATACCTCTCTATTAGAAGAGCCAGCCCGTTCATCGTGCCCACGGAAGGACAGCTCGTGACAACCAATGAACTTCAAAACATTTTTCTCGACGTTTTGGTTGTGCCGACGAATAGAAACCGCGCGTCCTTCATTCAACTGTGCTGTAATATTAACATTTCCGAATGTTCGGTATTTTACTGCATTGTCCAGATGCTCCATAGAAGATTGATGATCCCTGGCACGCTCGGAAAGATGTTTAAGATCTCTAAAACCAAATGTACACCAACGTGAGTCACGGGCGGTAGCAAAAAGTAGGCAATAAAAACAAAAAAGTGCATTTTTGTCCTCGCTGTAACACAACCATTCGTGTTTTTTATACCAAGTTTCTGCGCAGAATGTACGCCGACGCTTTCCTCCGTCATGGAATTGTTCCAGTGAACAATTTTTTGGTTGATAAGGCCCAAGACGTTGTACCTCTAATTTTTGTTCCAGCGGCAGCTGCGAAAACGGAGTGCGAAGTAGTGCATCAACCTTATTCCTTATGAGGTCTAAGGCTAAGAAATGCGAACCCGGAAAGAAGTGAGGAGCTCAAAAGGAATGTGGAAAATCGAAAGCAAATGGACTAAAGGTCTCTAACTGATTCAAATAGCGAAACAAGCGACAAAAACGAAGGCGATGAAACTATCAACTCTTCAAGCAACCAACGAACGAGAAGGAATGCGTGAATATGTCAACACGTTGTTGTAAGAAACGTCGGCATTGTGTCGTCATAATTTCGGGGCTAGCCCCGATGATTTAGTAAAAGAAACAGAAAACAAACGCGGCGAGTGGAAGATAAAAGAGAGAATACGATATACAATGAGCAACCGGGGCAAAATCGGCGTCGCCCCGTCGACGTTCGGCGAAGGCTTTGCGAGCGAAAAATGAACCATGTCGGGAGAATATGGCTAGTGTAGACAGTCTGTGCAACCGATATTGAGGTATTTTTCGAATCTTTTTTATTATACCGAAAAAACAACTGGGGCATTGCCCCGGTTGGACCTATTGACGCGCCGCCACTGACATGTAGGTATGTTTGTGTTTTCGGACCTGTGTATGCAATGTCTTTGTAAGATCCAGAGTTAGACAAAAATGTCCAAAGGGGGGATATATATATACTTTGCTGTAGGTCTATGGATGCAAAAGTAAGCTGGTGCAATTGTCCGGGGGTGCAAACTTTTGAACTAAATAAGAGTAGGCCAATAGCGTTCTAGCGACTACAGCAATCTTATACCAAAGAAAATTATAGAGCAATTGAACCAGCAGTTAAAAAGAAAAGCGAAGCAACATGCAAAAAATATTCGAGGTTGTGTCGCATAATTGAAACGACTTGCTGGGCCGATAAAACCAATGTGCAAGAGAACTGCCACAACCTTCCACTAGGAACAACAGTAATGGCCATGAATAATCGCAACAACAAGAAACGTTGGGATAAAATTGGAAACATCGTCCAGTCCTTGACAAACAAACAGTGTAAAGTCATTGGTCGCAGTATCATCCGAAACTGACAACTTCTATGACATTACATTGGCGCTTCTCACTCAAAATAACGACAGGTGTTACACTCGGTGTGTCAACACTTCTGCGTCTACATCTGCCTCACTGCAACCCTCTCCCAACCTCGCTACCACTTATCTATCACATCCCACTGTGCCAATTTATTCCTTACGAGAGAGACGTAGATATATACTTCATTACATCATTTTTCTGTATAGTAATTATAATCTTTATTTATGTTTTGACAGTTGCTCAAATACTTTAATTCATTAATTCAGCGATCGTAAAAGGGTTAGGGTGAGATGAAATTAAACTATGCCGTGAACCAAGAATCGGGAAGATTCACTACTTAAGTTTTTCCGGATATGCCAACGTAAAAGATAAAACCATGACAACGTAGGAAGCGCTATTCAGGAAGCGTCCGACACAAGTTTTTATCAACGCAATGGTGTCTCTCACCATCCGTCTGATCTAAAATTTAGACACTTAGTGATGCGTGTATCTCTCTACTTACTCTTAAATCAGCGTAGCACGACGAAGCACAAGCTTGGGACAATTAATTCCTAGAAGTGCGTCGACTGAAGATATTGGTTTTCGGAATTCGAAATATCTAGAAGTTTATCAGTTAGGTGCAGGTCGTAAAAAGTCACTACTGGAACGCTATCTGTTCAGAATAGACTTATCTCTAAATAAAGAGGAATGAATATATAGAATTTGCGAAATAGAAGTTCCATTATCAAAGCCGGTTTCAAATATCGAAAAATTTATATGCAGAAATTTTTAGCATGCTTCATTCTTCAGAGATTTAGATTGGCATTCAAATCATACAACGTTCGAACAATTATCACATAGGTTGTAGGCCACATGGATAAAACAAAGCAATAACATTCATGAGTGTTTATCACCCAATTTTAAAGGTCAATAATCTAATATAAATGTTTCATCTTTTTAAAATTTATTGGAGATATTATAGATGGCAATTGTCAGGGACAATCAATGCAAAACTGTATTTTACTATTAAATGTTATAAATCGTTCTAAAGTAAACGGTCGTTATTGCTTCAATCCAACTCGCTTACGCTTACGACGATTCAGACTTCTTGAACAAACCTTATATCTAAAGTAGGCTTTTCGTAAAGAATGAATACGTCACTAAACTCCATTGTACATGTGGATGTCTCACAATAATATCTGAGTAAACATATGGAAAAGTGTACGCGTCGAGGTATTACACGAGAAGGTAGTGGTATAAGTATGAAAACGTATTATATGATTGCCTTTGTATTGTTAGTACAGTGATTTTGAATAGAGCGGTTTGGTAAACTGGTGATTAAAGTTTATTAATTTGGTGTTTGTAGAATATAATATATAG